GGTATTGTAGTACAAATTCTTACATATGATTGCTGGATAATGGTGTGATATGAGCATGTAAAATTAGAGTTGAAACAGTAGAACCCAACAGGCATATGTGGTGTTATAACATATAGTCAAGAACAATCATGCCATGAAAAGATATGGAGTGCAAAAGGCAGTATCTTGCAAAATTGAGCAGATCGAGATGGTTTAGCCATACTGAAAGAGTGAGTGATGGTAGACGGGTGATGAGAATGAATATTGATGGTAGAAAAGGATTGGGGGTTTGGGATGAGTGTGGGGTGGACATTGTGAGTGAGTGAGAACAACACATGAGACATAATATGGGACAACGGTAGGTGGAATCAGTTTGTAAAGAGGGTGTTAGTTTGTACAGTACTGTACAGTATACACTTTATTATGTGTAAGTAACCACATGGGAAGATCAAATTAAAATTTTAGTTCTTTTGTGTATTAATACATTTTCAATGAGTATACTGTAGTATCAGAATTAGAATGTGAAGCTTTATTCATAACAACTGGTACAAAATTTTTACAATTTTGGATATAATGAACAGGTGTACAGCAGTAGAAATCATGCTAACAGTTTTGTATATATTATAATTTATTTAGCTTTCTATTTAAATTGTGATATATACACATTAGTAAAACACTGCGTAGCAGTAAGTGTAGTGGCAATGAGAACAGTGATAGTAAAAAATAACAATAAATACAATACTACTGAATATAGTACAAAACAGCTGAGTAAGTGGACTCAATTTAAAAGTATTTGTTTACAATTTACTGACATTAAGTGACACATTATAGTGATATGAGACTTGTATGAATTAATTTTATGCAGCAAATCAATAAGATGCATGCAGTATGAAAGATAAGTAGCAGGCTAATTATACCTTTAAGTTTAAGAAATGTACACACCCTCAGCATTTCTTTGTTTCTTTCATTGTGTTTACTTACACATAATTGAATTACATGTTTTTGTGATTACATCTTACCTCCTGTACTGTATAACAGTTCACAAGGAGCGCTGTGTACCTGGTCGTATGAAGTGGTGGGATATTGCTGTGGATGACTGCTCAAGTGTCATGATGCTTGATATATATAGTGATGCAATATAGTGTGAATGATATGATTAATTGATGAGTAATAATTATAATTTTTTTATATTTTTAATATCTATAACCTTTTTTTCACCGATATACAGTACTGTATATTATTCACCTTTTTATCCGGGCAGATGCCTCTTCACCCCCTTGAAAGTGGTAAATGGATAATGATAATATATGTTCTTACTTCTGTTATTACCTACAACATATGAAGTCACATGACCCTTTCAAACTCAAATTTCAAATTTCAGAAATAGGCATCTTGAACTGGCCCATGAGAAGAAATTCATTGTTCTGTTTCAATCTTCATTTACTAATTGCCTGCTCCCTCCCTCATCATGTTCTTTCACTTGTGCTCTTATAATTTTTATCTCATTCCACTCTTCCTTCTCACTTTCTCTAGGTGTGGTTTTGCATTAACCTTGCATGTCAAACTTACTCATCTTAAAAGCTTTAACTACCTGATAAGTTTAATATAGAGCCATCCTAGCTCATCAGCATGTATAAATTACTGTACCATTACTAACATTACCACCATCATTACCTCCTCTTCCATTACCACCACCACCTCCACCACCATCACCTCTGCCTCCACTACCACCACCTCCACTATCTCCATTACTACCTCCCTTTACTGGCACCTGTACTCATTACTCCAGCCTAAATGTATTATTTTGTATGTACTGGACTCATTATATTCCTTGTACACATTACAGTACCCTGTAATTATTGCTTCCCCAGTACTCATTACATCACTTTTTGTATCCTGAGATATGCCAGCCTGGTAAACCTCTCTCGATCAACTATTGTTAAAAGCTATCCAGTTCTCAAGCCCTAATTATTGTTTTCTGTTTAGCTTGCATCATCCTACCTCAGCCATGTTCACATTGCTTGTTAAATTTCTCTAACCAAGCTTCTACTGTAGTTGTAGTACATACATTAAAGAGAAAATCTTCCATAGTTTTTAGTTTACCCTAAACATAGTTGTGTGATAGATTTATCCTTGAGTCTGTGCTTATTTTTACCTGGCTGCTTCCTGCATACACACATCCCAAATGTGTTGTTGCATCCATGTATTTCTACCTTTCATATTTAACCTTTCTTGAAGATGTCTTTTGATGTTTTTGTGTTATCTTCTTTTGCCTATTATTTCTCAGACACCATCATTTTAGTATTCTTTGCACAGGCTTGAATTGGTTTCTTGTATAGTTGTTCTTACCATAACATGCACAAATGTATCATCAGTATTTATTGATAACTCAAGTTTTCTCTATAAAAAATCACACATTTATAGTACACTATATATATGTCAATATTTTATCTTTGTGTAGTCTTTGCCGATACATCACATTCCCTGATTTTTCGAATAATCATTTAAGTAAATATTTACACATGACACTGCAAGTGCAATGAGGAGGTGAAAAATCTGGTGTGTATTATAGTTCTAGTCCAATGCTTAAATTACAGTATTTTAATGGGTTCACATTAAATAACAATTATTGTCTTGTTATGAAGATTAGTGCAGTTGGCTTTAATCTCGACACAATTGGGATCTTGGGTTTGATTCCGAGGCTGGATAGAAATGGTTGGGAATGTTTCCTTTCACTTAATGTCTTTCTTCACTTAGCAGTGAATTGGTACACCAAAGTTAGGCAACTGTTGTGGGGTTGCATCCTGAGAAGGGACAATAACTCAATCTTGGGGCACCTCAGTACAACCCTAAAGCATTTATGTACACAGGCACCTATCCCCATGAAAACAAACTATAAATTACAAGAGTGCTATTTTTAAATAATGATGGTTATGAAGTATAGTAGCAGGATATTAAGATTCTTTAACCCTAAAATGGCACAACTATTTAAAAACACTACATCAAAGTGTGCATTATTAAAAAAAAAATAACAAATAAAATGGGGAAAATTGCATATGGCAGTTGGAGCCATGTAAGGGTTCAAAACACGTGTGTGAGTGAGTATAGTGATGGTCAGAGAGGAAGTGCATTCACTTGTGCACACACTCGGCATGCAGTTCTCAATTGAGATACATAGTGTGGTGTATGGCAAGTTTGCTTAATGTATGAAGTGTCTCTCCAAGTGTTTCATAATGCTGAATATTGACTCAAATCAAGCTTTCATGTTTAGCACTGATACTGTATATCAAAGATTTGTACACATAGCTGATAGACACACATTTCAAGGAAGTAATATTGCAAGAATGGGATAAAGTTTGCTGACTATTAAAGATAACCCCATAGAAATATCCTGAAAAGATGATTGGATTTAGATAGTAGACTTTTTTAAGTAAAAACAGACAGATTAGTAAGATTGTATTAACTGGTAAATTATGTTGGTTGACAACTAACAAAATGGAAAGAAAAAAGTTAAGCAGCATGTACAGTAAAAGTCCTCACCAAGTACAAAACTATAAAACTGCTAGTTGAGTGTTTAAATTAGGGCTGTCTGGAGTAGGTCTTAAGGACCTATTCATAAGAAAAATAAGATCTCAATAGGAGTTTCAGGGGAGCAAAGCATCATCAATGTAGACGGGTAGTGTGTCTTGGGGAAATGTGAACAATAGGAAGCCTTTTAGCTAGATTTTGGATGATGGGAGGACTTACTTTCTTGATTACCAATTCTTTTCCTGCAGAATTCGTCTGCTAGTATGGAAGGCATGATATAGAGAAGCTTTCTGTAACAAAACTATACAGATTATTTGAAGCTATTGAGGTTCTAGTGCACCTATTAAGAAATATATTTTATTTGCTTTCTTAATAATAGAATGTTCCGTATATACAGTATATATAGTATACACAATGAAAACTTTTAAAATAAATGTATTTGAGGCTGCAGGCATTGATTGTGAAACCAATTTTATTTTGTAATTCTTAAAATAGAAGCGGCACATGTTGCAGTACTCTTAAATAGCAAGCTTTGCCGGTGCTTTTTGGCAAGAACTGCCCTTGTCAAAATCTTGGAGGACTAGAGTATATAGCACTGTAAATATAGAAAATATGTCATCACAGGCAGCCCCTCTTGGCTTCCAAATCTAGAACACATCAAATCATTTTTTTTTCTAATTTAAATGAATGCTTCTTTATTTTTTGTATGTATTAACCTTTCACCAGAGCTGTAATCACAGTTATTAACACCTTGTTCTCTTCTCATTTGTCAGCTTTAAGTGATCATAATGAATTGGATATTATGTTGAGCGTCATAAAACATAAGTTTCTCCTTGCTGCTCCAAATGATTTTGTATTCCCTTTAAAATTCTAAATAGATAAAGACATTTTGCCAAAGTAAAGTACATATTTAATCAGAATGGATTTGTTTAAGTTTGCTATAATTTATATATGTCTTCTATTCCATTAATCAAAAAGTTGATTGTCTTTGGGCACTCATTTTCTATGTTTGCACATTTTCCACTAGTAAAGATACAATACTATTTATTATATGATCACTAGGAGTTACAATTAGTAAGCTTTCATATAGAAACTGCTATTTCAATGTACAAGATTATGCTATATTTTCTCAATGCCCTTTATAATGGTAATGATGCTAGGAAGCAAGGTAGCCACAGGGATTGTTTATTTAGTTACATAATACAATACTTTTCTGTAATATACATCTCATATCAGTGTTGGGTTGTCATGATAAATTCAGGGAATGTTTTACATTTATTTTTGTAATAACACTTCAATCTGATGTTAGCCCACTGTAATACATGTAATGTGAATGCTCATACAGTAGTTAAATTTGGTTACAAAATTGCTTGGTTGCATTTATTAATGTTGATAATTTGCTTCCATATTTAAGATAGGTATTGACAAAAGTCCTGCTTACAGAGTTTTGAAGTTTTCTCTCTCTCTCTCTCTCTTTCTCTCTAATCATACAGGTGGCAGAGAACAAGTTTAACAAGAATCTTCATGTGGATTTAGGTGGTGAGGAAGCCCAGGAACTGCCTGCCTCTAAAGGAACCACTAAAATTCATTCAGTACCACCGCTTGTTTCATTTCGGGATGTGTCACTTCTCTCTTCATTAAACCCATTTCAGTAAGTCTGTTTAAAATGAGTATGTACTGATTAATCACATTATTTATAGTAGTTTATTATAATCATTGATAACTAGTTGTATAGTAAGTACATCATCAATGATCCTCTTGCAGGAGGAGAAGTAGAGGTGCGTGTAATGCCTCATTACTGTGTGTAGATGGACGTCCACAACCATGTGGCCACAGTAACAAGATAATAAAATCAAATGCCCCCCACACGCCTCTTCCTCTTAATGCTCAATTGTCATCTCATTCCTCTGATGGGACAATGGAATTAAAGCTTATCTCCCAGCCAGAGGAACAGCATCGTGCCCGCTACCAGACTGAAGGTTCCAGAGGAGCTGTTAAAGACCGATCAGGATTGGGTCATCCAACAGTTAAGGTAAATACAAGAAACATATACATAGAAAGGGATTAAAAAGTACATAGAATTATATTGGAACCTTAATAGTCCAAAGACAATTTGGCACAGAAATCAATTTTGGTCATGTTGAACATGGTGCTTGGATGACCAAGCTCATTTCAGTCACCAGATCAAGTTGGTATGGGAATACCAGTGTACTGTGTACTCCCAATAGAACAGATTCAGTTGACAAATTCGTACCTGACCCCATCTACTACAGCTGAATTCCATTTGCATCTGACTATTATTTGATTATGCAAATTTTTGACAATTACAGTATTGCATTTTTTAAATGGAAATAGTAAAATGTGTATTTCTGCATTTTATACACTTAACATATTTTTAGAACGAGATGCCACTTATTTTGCCTCTGAGCAGCATGCAGGGCAAGTTTGCAATGTTTTTAAATGTCTTTCATTTCTACTGTTGTTTATTGTCACTTCTTTGTTTCCCTTATATGTAAATGATTGCTGTATTGTATGGTACAAAGAAGCACATTATTGCGTAAACAAATTTTGAATTTTCAGAGCAGATGCCTGCACAATATGTAGCTCCTGTAATAATAAGTTTGCTTACTTTTCTTTTGTTAGTCCATGATGGTTTTAGATATCATATCAACGTGCTTCGGCAAGTACAGGAATACTTTGTAGAACTGAGGGTGCAAACCTTTAATGTTCGTAAGATAATGTAAAGACTACCTTTGACTTAAAGTGGAATACTGATAAGGGATTTACTTTTCAGTTGATTGGATATAACAAAGCTACAGTACTACAAGTGTTTGTTGGCTCTGACTCCGGCAAAATGGGGCCACACATGTTCTACCAGGTCTGTCGTGTCAGTGGCAAAAACTCAACACCATGTAAAGAACGGAGACTTGATGGCACTGCCCTGATTGAAGCTTCTCTTGACCCTGAAACAAATATGACCATGAGGTATAAAATTTTTCTTTTATTTTAGCAAATTGTGACATATATTTTGATATTTATAGTTTCATCTATTATTCTGCATTTTTAATTTGTTACAATAATTCTGAAATTATCTCCAAGAGGGAATTTAATATGTTCAGATTGTGGTTGGTAGTAGAGTTGCAATGGCTATATTGGTTTGTAGCCTGGAGGCAGGTAACCAAGTAGCAATTAATCTGAACAAGTATTGCTTTGGAGAGGTATTTTAACACTTGTGTTCTGACATGATACCGCACTCCTCATTGTAAACATTTCAGGGCCTTTCTCAGCAGCACATACACTTTTTATAATCGTTTAATGTTTTCCAGCACATTTTTGGGGTTATACTATAAATTGGGTGTCAAAATATTTGTAAATGAATTTTATAGTATAGAATATAGTATTATTCATTTATAGTATAGAATATAAAAAAAGGTATGTTGAAAATGCATTTTGTATCATGGTGCTTAATATATGAATGTTTATGAGCAAGTAATTTGTGAAGCCCTTTATATGTATAGGTAGTAACATTGATATAAACAGAGGGAATCATGTGAATACTAAAGTATAAATAACTCTGGATTATGAATTTATAATATGATATGTAACCTAGTTTATTTCTCATATGAACAGTTGTGACTGTGTAGGCATTTTGAAAGAGCGCAATGTCGATGTGGAGCACCGGTTTAAGGCTGCAGTGTCACGAGGCCGCAAGAAGAGCACAAAGTGTCGGTTGGTGTTCCGCACTTTTGTCACTCTTAAAAATGGTGCTCAAGAGACCCTGCAGGTTGTCTCACAACCTATTGCCTGTAGTAAGTAATCAAGACTTCATTTTTAATCATGCTATGTTCTTAAATTACCGAATTGCGATCTTTTATCTTAAAACTTTACCTAAACATTAACGTTCATTTTATCATCTGATAGCCACATACTACACATGTGATCATCTTTTGAAGCCAGGGGTTGAAACTAGAAATGAAAAAGATTTGGGGAAGTGTCAAGAAATACATGAACTCTGTGTGGGTGGACAGTAAGTGGATTGCACTGTAGGAAGAAGAAATTTGATAAAGTATAAGGTTCAAATAGCTATAAGGTCATTCCCAAAGAGCTAGAGCACTCTCTAGACACTGCTAGGTAAGCATCACATCTGCCTGTGCGTATCTGTTACAGTGGTCTGTGTCTTCACACCAGCATAAATGCATTGAATTTTATATACTGTACTGTACTTATTACATTTAAGGGTATTTTTACCATCTGTACTCATGACACCATATCCTGAGGTATGCTAGCGAAGGGGTTTCTCTCATTTGGTTACAATAAAAACATATGTGTACTTAATTTTTAGGTATTATTATTTGTAAATACAAATTTAGTGTAATACTGTATATCAGGGTTTGAAATATTTTATATAAAATTTTATTTGTTTTGCCCAAAGCTCAGCCACCTGGGGTGCCAGAGATATGTCGCAAATCTTTGAACAAGTGTTCTGTAGCTGGAGGGACTGAAATGTTCATCTTTGGTAAAAACTTCCTGAAGGACACAGTGGTCATCTTCCAGCAAAGTGGCACAAAATCACAGCCAATATGGGAGGAGAAAGTCTCACCAGACAAGGAGACACTTCAGCCTGTAAGTTTCATGTACTATCTATCAAAGTTTTAATGCTTGTAAATCTAATGTAGTATAGTTAAATGTCTCATATAAACAACTTGTCTAGAGGTAAAGTGTTCATGACTGGGTTCCTCCACTATATTTTGTCCAGTCTTAAACTTGTTTAGCTTAACTAATATGCTGATTCGTCCACAATAGCGTTTACTGCTATGTGATCTCTACTTTTGAGCTATAATTGATTTTATTAAAATAAATGTAACCAATAAAAGTAATTTTAAGTAGTTACTGTATGTGATATTTTAAATTGAGTATTTGAAAATAATTTAAAGTAAATTGCTGATAATTTAGCTGAAATTATAATCATGTATCTTTTTACTGGCATTGAGTATGAATTAAAGAAATTTAAAGAAATAGAATATATATATATATATATATATATATATATATATATATATATATATATATATATATATATATATATATATATATATATATATATATATATATATATATATATATATATATATATATATATATATATATATATATATATATATATATATATATATATGCTGATAATTTAGCTGAAATTATAATCATGTATCTTTTTACTGGCATTGAGTATGAATTAAAGAAATTTAAAGAAATAGATATATATATATATATATATATATATATATATATATATATATATATATATATATATATATATATATATATATATATATATATATATATATATATATATATATATATATATATATATATCTATCTATCTATCTATCTATCTATCTTTGAGTAAGTTGCCTTCTTTTTTTTAATAAGCTATAGCCATGAATCTACCCAGCTCATTGCTAATACACCAGATCCTGAGCAATTATGAGCCTCATCAAACAAGAGAAAGCCTTCCAAGGCACACCGCCAAAAAAACATTTTTAATAAAAACGAACATGCACTTTTATGATAAAAGGTATTCTAGGGAAGCACTGGTTAACTACACAGGAGAATCAGGCTCACACACAAGAGGACCTCAATCATCAGTGTCTTGGTATAGGAAAAACCCAATTGCATTGGAACTGCATCTGCAAGCCTTAAGTCAAAGCCCAAAGTGATAACTAAGATGCAAGAAGCATGTATTTGGTATGTGTTAACTCAACACAATTCAAGAAATGATTCTGATGAGTGAGGGCAGTCACAACCTAAATAAAAACAAAACTAGGCACTTTACAACCTCTAGTAAAATGGCTTACTATAGAGGTGCCACTATGGTAGAGCCTGACAGGCATTTCCATGAACTGCTTTGAGTATGAATGTAAATAAAGTACTAAACAAAGACCTAGGCCAGAGTGAGTCCCAATAAGGCATAGCCAAGGTGAGAGCCTAGTTCAAGAGAAGCCAGACCCCACTGATGGCTAAACCAGACAATTGTCAAGAAGATAACTCTAAAGGCTTTGGTTTCTTTAAGTCAGTGCCAGGGAAGATAACCACAAAACAAAGCTGAAGCAGATTGCATTAAACAAGGGCATGCAAATACACTGTACGAAGATGAGAACAACCACGCAACTTGACTGAATTAACCACCACAGCTTGAGGAGAGCGGGCTAACAAATACGGGTAGCTTACTTCTTCGACCCTGTAGTTGTGGTAATGCTGCCATCTATTGGCAGATGGAATAGTTATTTATTAGCAGGCTTGTAGTTTATACATTTTTAACTTACATTCTTTTTGTTATGTGTAATTTCTTAAAGGAGTGTTCAGTTTTGATCTCTGCTCTTTGGTGTGATAGTAATCATTTTGGTGATGGATTGAATTTTCCCTTGTCTTCCCTTTCCAGCTAGGTGGCAAGACCTTTTTGAAATTTACTTGTCACTGTGGGGCAGCTGTTCCACGGAGCCTGATGAGAATATGGTGCACTGAGTTGGCCCAGGTCTTGGCTCAGAGAAAGACTGCTCAGAAATGAGTGTTTAATAAACTCTACAATCTAATTTTTGTTTCTTATAACAGGTGGGAGAGAAAACACTCAACATAACCGAAATGTCCTCGTAACTGCCAGCTCTTGGCCCTGATTCTGTCAGATATAATGTGTAGCTGTATAATAGTGACAATACCCTTTCTAATGCCATTAGAAATTATGATTTATTCTTGTGCAATACTCTAGAAGGCCTAAATGCAAAATTCCTTTGATGAATTTTTTGGAGTGAATTTAAAAGAACTTGATATTGTGTTTTTACTTCAGATTCACTTAATTGTGACAGTTCCCGAGTATTACGATCAGTCAATAACCGAGGAAGTGATGGTGGACGTGATGGTGTCATCCGGTGGCAAAACCTCCGAGTGCCACAGCCTGACATATGTACCACTGGTGATCAAGAGAGGTAAGTAGTGTGACAGCCATGGCGACTGTCATTGTGTCTTGCTTAAATTCATACGTGCTGGCCCATTCAAGGGAAGGGAGAGGATTGTCATCATGCTGATACATACCTTGAAAAGATTACCAGCAGATGTTTGAATATTTTGTGCAGCCATCTAATAAAGCTCTTCATTTGTGTATTGTCCCATGTAAACCTTTACCTGTCATTCCCCACCTTTTGTTTGGTATTCAGCCCAATAGCTTGTCATAAATTATTAAAAAATCCTTATTCTCCATATTGAAGAGCAACAACTTTGAAGATTATTTAATTATTTGCATTATTTTAAAAATATTGTAGAGTAAACAGTAAATGTCAAGTTACAGAAAAATGCCTTCTCTCTCCTTGATTACCTGCTTGATTTTAATTAAAGTGTAATTTAGCAAATTTAAAATCAATACAATGCCTCACATTTTTAAGAGGAAATTTAAGGTTGTAATTTACTTGATAATAGCATTTATGTGAGCAGCATCAGGCAGGTAGGCCAGCTTCATTAATCACCAGCACATGTTTAGTCTCTTCTGTTCTCCTCCAGAGCCTTACCATGGGACACTGTTAAGAGAATTTGGGTTGGGAGGACTCAGGGCACAATACTGCAACTTCATGTCAGTAGAGAAGGCAGCAGGTGTTTTTGGTCCTGTGGCGCCCAGTCTGTGCTCGCTTGGGCGTCATAGTCCAGATACACCCTTTTGTAAGGGCAGACTGCTAGTCCATAGTGCATCATTGTGCCAACTTACATGTGACAACCTTGATTCCAGTTCTACCGTCAGTTCCAAACATCCGCATTTTTATTTGTTTTTTTACCAGTTGCCATGACCTGGAACTTCATTAGATGACCCCTCCCCCTTTTATCATACAGTACTAAGACCTCTCACCTGAGTTCATTTGTTATTAATGTTTTAAAACTTCATAGCCAACCATTAACTGGCATCAAAGTTGTATAGTCTGCCCTTCTTAGGTTACTGAGAGTGCTACATTATTGGCCATGCTGCTGCTGCTGGAGAGTTAGTTGGGAGGCTCTGGAGGGCGAGTAGTTGGGGCGGGGGCGGGGCCACTAACATCCCCCTCTCATATCCTGGTGTGTATGCAGGCCACATCAGGCTGCATCCTCACCAGATGGGGCTAACACATGCAGTCACTTCTCGTATATTAAGCAGTACAGTACAGCATTTGGATATTCATTTAATTTAATTAGAAAGATTTGAAATAATTTAAAATATCTTTCGTACTTTGAATAAGCATGTGTTGCCTAAGATCTTGATCATGTGGGCTTTCTCAATCATTTTATGAGGGTGGTTGCCCTATTCTGTGGTTGGAGATCTGGGTTGTGCCATTATCAGGCTGGCCATCCCAGGTCTCCCTTGTACCATTCTCATGCCATTGCCATTGTGCATGTGCAAGATTTAGGAAGCCCGGGACGCTTAATGCCTCCCATCAATAAACCCCCAAAATGCGGTGCCTCTCTGTTAGTTACATAGGTGTCGCCGATCACTCTCTTGTCTGAGATTGGCGTGGTGTGGCAGCGCACTCGTGGCAGCATCGCAGCCGTGGTCCCGTAAGTGCCAGGGACCTACCCAGCAGGTGGTGTCGCTCGCTTGCTGCTCTATCATCCTCACCCCTCACCAACCATTTCTTGCTTCACCACACATCAGCCTGTCACTTTGTGGCATAACATTCATATGTAGTACTACACATGATATCATACTCAGCCAAGACTTAAGTATGTCTCATTTACATATACTGCTTCCAAAATTACTTCACATTGACATTCCCTTTTTTTTTTTATTCTTATGGTACTGTACCATACACTATATTTCTCCTGAATTTTATTTCTATATCATATGTAGGGTCAGTTGTCTTCACAATTCATAGTACTGTACTTCAACATAATTAATATTTAGACAGCATTTTATGTTTCCTTCAGTTATTACTTTTCATAACTCACGATAGTAAATATCAACTAAAGAAAATTAAATCAAATAGCCCCCCTCTCTCTTCAGCTGCCGTATGTATGTTTAGTCTTTTATGTTGAGTTAGTAAGCATTATGCTGCCTGTACCTTACATTTTCTGTTCATATATTTACTCTATAGATAGTCTGCTACATAATATTCCTTTTTAATTTTCCTTATGAATGTTATTTTATATTGTACTTTTTCAAACTTTTCAGTTCATTTTTTTTTTTTTTTTTTAGATGTAACTATAATTTTGTTAGTATTGTCATTACATCTTATTTTGCATTGATGGCATTCCCTCACATGTATGTTGGTCAGACATGTGTAGAATTTCTTGGCAGATACTTTTGTTGTTGTTTAAGGCTCTGCAACACTAGAATATCAATTGACCAGTTCTGGAGATGCTAAGAAATTCTGCACGTGCAATCCTGCGTTGTGTGCAGGAGATGAGTAGTTGGGGGCAAGTAAATGATGCTAAATGCTAAGAGCTTCTGTGAGGTGAAGGAAGTTTTAAAGTTCAACCTTTCAAGTACTGAGGAAGAGAAACTTTTAAAGTAATTGAATCCAGTGAAAGCTTTGTGCATTTTTCAGTCAATAATATAAAATGGAAACCTATATTTTTTATTTAAACTGTATTAGGATAAAACTTAAAATTATTATTTTTATTTTGTAATTATTTATTTAACTCTTTTGTGAGGTTGTAAATGCACTAATCTATATTATGTAGCTTTTTATTATGTGGGGGAATTTAGTTAATTTTTAAAAGAAAATACCGAAAATGTGCAAGGTTTTACAGTACATATGAACAACTATATGGCATGAAGATTAATGAGCCCATCATAATACGAAATGATAAGTTTCCCATACTCCAGAAGCACCAATGCATTCTGTGGGCCTAACCACCATGACTGGCTGGCTCTTGCACGCACACACACACGCCCTCAATAATACATTCACTGCGCTGACAGCCATCAATTGTTGAGAAACTTTCAAGATTGGTGTCTTGTTGTTTATCCTTGTATGGTGGGAGGGAGGGGATTGTTGATATGTAGCGATAGACGGTCTCCGATACATCTTTCCCTCATATTCATTCATTCCTTCATTCATATTCTCTCTCTCTTTCTCTTTATCTCTCTCTCTCTTTCTCTTTCTCTTTATCTCTCTCTCTCTCTCTCTCTTTCTCTTTCTCTCTCTTTCTCTCTCTCTCTCTCTCTCTCTCTCTCTCTCTCTCTCTCTCTCTCTCTCTCTCTCTCTCTCTCTCTCTCTCTCTCTCTCTCTCTCTCTCTCTCTCTCTCTCTCTCTCTCTCTCTCTCTCTCTCTCTCTCTCTCTCTCTCTCTCTCTCTCTCTCTCTCTCTCTCATGTTTTTTTCTATATTGGTTTTAACACTTTTTGCTTCTTTGTATATCTTTTCTTCATTTCTTTCATGTTGCCATTTTGCAATATACCTTTCCATATTCTTGTTTTGTCTGCTATCTTTTGTCTACTTCCAGAAAAGAGAAAGCAATATGGGAAGGAGGAGGTTGTGAAACATAAGTGGGAGGAGACCTTTGTGAATATTACAGGTATATTAAATGGGAAGAGGGGGGTAGATGATGTATGTTCAAATGTTGAGATGAGGCAACAGAAGTAAGAATTGTGAATAGTCTTAGGGAGGGAGTATTATAGGATGAAGGGAGCTTTATTGGAGGGAGGGAGCTTTATTGGAGGGAGGGAGCATTATTGGAGGGAGGGAGCATTATTGGAGGGAGGGGGGGGACATTATAGAAGGGTGGAAGCATCATAGAAGGACAGGAGCATTATAGGTGGAAAGAACTTAGAGAGCATTATAGAAAGAATGGAACATTATAGGAGAGATGGAGGTTGGGAGAATTATGGAAGTAAAAGAGCATTATAGGAGGATGGGAGCATTATAGAAAAAAGGTATCATTATAGAAAGAAGGGAGCATTATATGAGGGTGGGAACATTATTGGATGAGAGCAGTTGAGGTAATGTTACAAAGCAAGAAGCATGAAAGTGAACATAGCATAGTTATTAGACATGTCTTGGATGGTAATGAGGTGGTTGGTTTTTAAGACGAAGTTAATGAACAGTGATTTATAAGGCTACTGATAAAGTTAATGATCCAAAGTTAGGTGGCTACTGGTCAAGTTAATGAACAGTGGGTTTGGTGGCTATTACTGAAATAATTGAATGGATTTTTATCAAACTGGGACAAAATTATTGATGGTGATTTATTTAATGACAACATCTTAGATGGAGGTTTGATTTGAAGAGTATTTCAACAGGAGAGGTTTTGTTAGGTGTTGAGAGTTCACACCAGGCCGGGTACTGTACTACGTGAACACTACACACAAACTGTCTGCAGGATTGGTGCGGGTGATGCAGATTGAGTATGGTCAAATAATTTTGCGTCATATAAATAATATTTAAATGGCATATTTTAGAAATGTGTTTTAAAGAAAATGTCACACTATTAGAAATTAGTGGAATATTTTAGCTTAAGTTCATCGAAACCATTACATAATGTTGGCTTTTAGTGAAGAATACAAAAAACCTGTTGCATCAAAATTTAACTGAGCAAAAAAGTTCAACAAAATGTGTAGACCCTAGTAACTGAAGAAATTTAAATAAATTGTCAAAATTTTATCAAAGTAAGGGTTGGTTGAAGCTTTCCCCCTCCCTCCCACCCCTCCACCTGTGCAAATATGGTTAAATGACATTGATGCAACAACATTGAAAATGCTAATTTGAGATTTAATTAAACATTACCCAAGCATGTCTTGTCCGCTGGCTTGAGATGCATTGTGAAAAGCAGTACATTAACAAATAGTTAATTTGTAATAGTATGTTTTTACTATAATTCAAAAGAAGATTTGAGATGACTTGTTACAGTGAAAGATAGTGTACAAACTTGGAAGAATAAATGGAGACAAAGATCACATACAAAAATTTAGTGATGGTGAACACTGTAGATCTAAAGTATTTGAACAGTGAAAGTCTTGATACATTCATTTCCCCCATTGCTAATTAGGAATAAAATACTAAATTTAATCTATTAGATTCCATAACGTACCTCTGCATCTTCATTTATACTGGATTAAAGTGAATTGAGGAAAATGCCTATTTTATATTTTTGTCACACCTTGCATTCATTTGTTCATTCATGACACATATTGCATATGTTTATATGAGAATATCTTTGCCACAATGCTTTTTACAGTTATATCATTCATTAACTTGTTCATTTTTCATAAGTAATTGTTAACAACAAAATAGGAAATAGTAACTGCAGTCGAGGCCTGGTCAAGAACCGGGCCGCGGGGACGCTAAGCCCCGAAATTATCTCAAGGTAACCTTAAGGAGACTTTGTTTGTATTAAATTGTCCAACATTTATTATTATGTGGCTGTCAGCGTCAGTGGTCCTGTCACTTGGGCACCATTCATAGTCATCTCTCATATTCACTATTGTTTTCTTCAGCTTAGATAAGTTATAGCTTATCACTATATAAAGGGTTATTTTGTTTCCTGAAAGAAAGTATTATGTCTATTTTTAAGTCTTGCAATAAATATTCCTCTTTATTGGATTGGCTTCATATTTGATTTTATGAAGCATTTGCAAGATGTTTATTTTCTATTGCCTTTTGAGTGGCATGCACATCCAAGCATGTTAAGATGAATCTTTGACATAATTTTTTACAAAGCCATGATGAATAAGTGATTGTCTTGCAGCAGATTGTGAAGAGTTGATGCTTCTGGTGCAACATTTACCATCACTGCCAACATCGTTTTGTTAGTATATTGTGCTAGATGCAAATGTCAAGTGTGAAAGATTGTCTTTGAGGGAGCGAATGATTGATGAATGTTGATTGAAAGACTGAATGAATGTATGGATACTGGATAGGGATATTTTGTATTGATTTCTCTTAATGTTTTCAGAAGGCTGGAAGTGGAGCTCAACCATCATTTATTATCTTAACGCCATGCCCAAGCATTGGACATGATGGTATCCTCACTACAGAGATTTAATGTAATTGAAGCATTCCAGTCAATCTTATAAGCATATAGGAAGAGTATAGCAGGATCAAATTTTAAAATTGAAAATAGATTTTTGTATCAGTTACTTAGTAACTTGGTAGAAAATGAGGCACCATAGTGCACTAATACTGTTCTCTCTCGGACCAAGAGGTGTGGGTCGGCAACGTGGCCAGACAAAGCATTATTGCCTAACGTGGTTTCAGAGTTCATCATTCATATTGCATAAAGGCCCCCAAACTATATAAATTCCTCTTTGCACTGTTTAAGGTGGCTTAAATGTTGTTAGCTTTATTTGAAAACTTAAAGTTATGAGAAATTATTGCATTAGATTTAATTAAATATTGACTTGATAATTAAGTAAATGTATATATGGTATGGCTTCACTGAGGTGCCTTTTGTGTCTGGTGGCTGGGTATGGTGATACCTTGCTTTGTGAGTTGACTAATAATACATGTTTCTTAAACAGAACTGCCAGTCACAAATAAACAAGATAAGCTCTTACCAAAAGGAGTTTCACCCTGTAAGTAATCTTTATTTTATTAATTATTATTTTTTAAATAAAACTTTAATTTTGTTTTCATAATATTCATATTAATTTTTCTACATACACACAAAAACCACACACGTGCACGTGCACATGAGGAGAGAGCTTATATTTGCAAAAGCTGGAAGATAGAAGAAAAAGAAGTGATATGATCACTACATACAAACTAGTAACAAGAATAAACCAAATTGACAAAGCAGAATTCTTGAAGCCTGCAACTTCAAGAACAAGAGTACTTAGGTTCAAACTAAGGAAACAAATCTGCCAAAATAACATCAGAAAGTTCACTTTTGCAAACAGAGTTGTAGATGGAACAAGTTAATTGAGAAGGTGGCAAAGGCTAAAATCATGAGTAGTTTCAAAGATAAGAGTACTGGAAAGATTGGACACCATAAGCAGAGCTATCATCCTGTAACTACATTTAGGTAATTACACACACATAATATACTATGAAATGTATAATTCATGCAGCTGTAGATAAATTAATATTTATGGTTTTCTATTGCAGGTGCCTTGCAATTGAATCGTCACTATGCAGAAACAGGGACACTACCCACACAACTGCCAGAGGCCACAGCTCCTGTACCCTCCAGTCATGCCACCAGTACTACTTCAGGTAACTACATGATTAAAGTATACAACTGGATGACCGAACATAATTTCTGGGATATTAAGAGGGGTGCAAAATATGGATGCAAATAGAATGTGTGTGTAGATTTAGAAAAGATCCAGGGGTAATTTTAATTTAATGGCACGATAAAGATATTTTTGTCAAAGAAAAATACAAACAATTACATACTCATTTAAAATATAACTGAAGACGGCATTGCTATACAGTACCCTGTAGTTCTTAAAAGCTCTCAACTTCTGCGTTTTGTATTTTGGATTTCCAGATTTCAGCAGCTCAACTTTATTTTTGGTTTAGAAGTCTGGTTGTTCATTTATGGAACCCATTACTAAGTATTGTTTCAAGTGTACCTACACAAATATACAAGTGATTGCAGCAGTGGCACCGAGAAGGGGGAACGCGCATCACAGTGTTGAATACTTTTTGTATATATTTGCATATGAACATACTGTATTATTAATACATGTAACTGCATTTATTTGATATCAAATGATATTATTTGCCCAGTTGTGTTACCTGTAGGGGCGTGTGTAGGCAATGTTGAGCTTACAATCCACAGTTTCTCTGTGCAGTAGGCAAAGCCATCATGAATGTAGGAGAAAGAAACGACAATGTACGTTTGAAATAAGCCACGAGCAATACCAGAAAATGCCATGTTTTATCAGCACAAGCACTCAAGCACTATTGAGCTGCTCTCCCACAAGATGGTGAGATTGGGTGGGGGAAGAGGTTGTTAATAATCACATGAATATACACGTACATTGTATCAACATGAATTTTGTACTAGAGTCTTGCCATACCCCAGAGTATTTTTTTCTATTTTTTTTTTTTGTCTAACCCATGGCTCCTTGTTCAATACAATATACAGACCCTGGCAAAGATGGTAGGATAATGTATATTTATATTGACATGGTGGAAACCACAAACGGAAGGTTTGACATATGTAAGAGACAGAATAGTTTGTGCTGCCAAATGCTTTGAAATTTTTCGAATAAAGAAATAGAGTATGTACTGTACTCAGTACTTGGGAAAAGTTCCTATTAGCATTAATTTGTAAACTGGCTGAACAATTTGGACAAAATATAAAAATTGTGTAGGCCTAAAGTAGAAATATGAAGTGATCTCATTAACACAGAGAGCTTGAAGAGAATGAGAATGAGGTTGGGATGTGTAACCACTTTGTGTGTAAAGCTGATAGCTACGAAGAACTATAGTGATGTGATCATAATGTACTTGTCTTTAGTTATATTCTAAATGAGTTGATGATTGTTTGTATTTTTTCTTTGACAAAGGTATCTGTATCATGCCATTTCATTTAAAATATAATGTAGAAAATAAATGATTTATGAAAGGAATTAATCAAATTGTATATATTGCAGTGCTGACATCTGCAACAATGGGAACATCATTACAAGGGTCACATCTTATGCTGAACAGTACACCCAACAAAAGAGCTTCCATTCGTGCGCCACGCTCTGCATTACGTCCCTCCAAGACATCATTACTTCCTGGCCGGGCTACTACAACGACGTCATCTTGGTCAAGGATGGCTGACACTTCATTATCATCAGTGTCAGATGTCTGTAATGGTGGTACAGAAAAAAAACAAGAGAAACAAGGAAAGGTTCAAGGCTTACAGGGCACAGTGAGTCTTGAGAGCTTGGTAGAAATGTTGAAAGTTGTTCAGAAATTCCCGTCTGGCTCTAATATACATACCTGTGTTCTGCAGCTGGTAGAAGAATTGGTAAAATCCATGAAAAAGAATATTTCTTCTCCATTTAAAACAGAAGTAGATGACCTGGTGATTAAAGAAGATGTGGTTAGTTCAACATTTTCAGAGAGAATGGCCAGTAATGTACAAGCCTCAGATATATCATCTGTCTCTTATCTGAATAAGACTCAGAAATTGGTGCCTCATTCTATTTCTCTGCAATCCCAATCTCAGCCCCAAGAGACATTTGCAAATGGCAATCACTCCAACAATGTGGTTTTACCTGCAGCTACAACTGTCAGCTTATTTCCATTTACATTGTTATCTGCAATGCCTTCCACGGTGTCGGCTGGAGCGAGAGTAGCACGTGTAGCCCCAGTGGCACCTGTGGCTCCCACTACAGTTGTTTCTTCCCCAGGACTGACCCGTACAGTCAATGTGTGTCTTGGTGAGGCTCCAAATATCTTGGAGGAACCACCCATGAAAAAACATTGTGGTGGTGTCCTACCCATGGACTACCAGTTACTCAGAAGTAATCAGTTTGGACAAGAACAAATTGCATGCAGCAGTGTTTCAGACACAATTGTGACACAAACCCCAGTCAGTACAACCTTTAACACAGTCACACCTATGTTGACAAAGGTTGTTAGTAACCAACATAGCTCTAATGATGCTCTCAGTCCTCCAACTGTTGTGGATACTCAAGCTTGTAGACTTGATCTCTCAACATCGAGAGTTATTAATTCACATCATATCACTGAAACTTCTGTTGATCCTCCTTTATACCAGCCAATCAGTCAGTCAATGATCCATAACATTGGGCCAACAACAACAGCAGTGCAACATGAGAGACAGTCCATAAATGCCAGCCAACCAGTTACTCAAACGATACAACAGACAACATGCTTGGCTTCAAGACATCAAACTAACCAGACTGTCAGCCAGTCACCAACTCACCGAGGTCAACTTGTAGATCACACCAACCAGCAGACCATGAGTGTACAGTCAAACCTTTCAAGAACTGACTCTGATCCATTGTTGTCTCAGTCTATGGGACTTTGTTCACTACAGGCAAATCATGTTACAGTGACCACTGCTTCCCCAAACCAAACCATTTTACCTTCCACATCCATGGTAACATCAGCCTTGACTCATTCTGACCCACTTTTGTCACAGTCTAGCCCAGTTGTTCCTATGCACATAGATGCAAGCTCATCAGCTTCGATTGTGAGGACTGAGCCAGGAAACAGGTCTAGAGATCCACTTATGACACCCAACCCTGCAACCAGCCAAGTTTCCATGCAAAATGAAGTGACTTCTGCCATCAACCTCTCTGAGACAGAGCTCTTGAATTACTTTGATCCAAATTGTTTTGATAATGGTAAGTATTTACTTGCAATCTAGCTATACTGAAGATTAATTTTGAATAAAATGTCGCTTCATATCTGTTTTAATCTCATTTCTTTGCCAAGTGCTGTTTTGCTTTTTCACTGTGCTTTTCCTGCATTTCTTGCATGTTTTTGTATGTTTAAGTAACTTTTTTCCGCATCTCCATCGTGTGTGTGTGTGTAATTGCCGAAGTGTATTTATAGGTCGAGAGCTATGTTCATGGTGTCCTATCTTCCCAGTACTCTTTTTTTTTTTTCCTTTAACACTTTGAAACTATTGACAGTTTTGGCCTCCACCACCTTCTCAGTTAATTTGTTCCAACCAACTACAACTCTGTTTGCAAAGGTTGCAATTTTGATGTTTTTTTGGCAGCTTTGTTTCCTTAGTTTGAACCTGTGTCCTTTTGTTCTTGAAGATGCAGATATTTTTTAAATCTTCTTTATCAATTTTATCAATGTCTATTAATATTTGGAAAGTAGTGATCATATATATCACCTCATTTTCTTCTATCTTCTAGCTTTGGCCTATACATTTGTAATATTTTTAAATAATTTCAGTTAATGTTAATAATTCATTAATCCCTGCACCATTAACTTTTTGCATGAAATATGTGTGCAGTACAAGGGTTTTTGATGTACTTCTTAAGATATGTGCACCATACAACTACTGTATGTTCCAACGTTGGTCTCAAAATAATTTCTTTAATATTCCTTATAAGTAGATAAAGACAACTTAGGTTGGAAAGCATAGCATATGCTCCTTGCACAATGTTCTTCATGTGATCCTCAGGTGGAAAAAGAAATGGAGATGGGAAGCTATGTCTCCTAGGCATGCCAAGTCATTAAAAGATTGCCAAGATTAAAAGTTCCCAGTATACTTAGTATTTTTAAAGGGTTTCATAAAATTGGCCTGCTCATACCTTGTTTGTAGTCTTGTTAACACTTTTATTTCCGACGATGCGTTTCATAGTTGTTGATACTCTGACAGTAAATGTGCCAGTGATGCCAAGACGTGTCATCTGATTGCTATTCTTGAACTTTTGTATATTCATGGCTGTCACGCATAATCCATTTTAAATTAAAAAAAAGGGCTGCATTGCGGGTGAAGTGATTGTAATAGTGTGTATGCCAGAGGGGGAAGGGGGCGGGGTGAGCCCTGGCACTGCAGGTTCCAGTCCTGGTCACCTCATAGAGTTCTTAAGTGGTTTATGACTTTGGTACCATTCAAGCTTTCTTTCACACATTATTGTATGTATACAATACATACATACATACATACATTGATATTGTCTAGGCAAAATAAAATTAGTGATATAAAATAAATGAGGAAGTTTTTACTATCTTCTTTGTTGACTACATATGTAAATGAAAATAATTAGAATAAGCCTAAAATACTAGTTTACATTTATTTTGTACACATATTTCCAACAGTGTGAAGGTGATTGTGCGGCAGCATGATGGTTATAGTACACTGTGTGAAGAAGAGCAGTTTGGTGGATGACATTGGGATTTGTGGACATTTGGCAGCCCAGCAAGTTTGACCGCACCTGCAGTTTCTCACACAACTTTATCCAGTTGCTGAGGAACAAAGTGTTGGAAATATCAATAATGGTATTAGTATTTGTACCATATTTGATGTGAAAGGCATACCTACTCTTCTTCTTAAGACAATAGTAAATGTTTACTCATTTATTTTTGATAGGCATCATTCAGAGGTTTAAGTTATTGTTCTTAATAGTTTTATGGAGTGAAGATTGAGGTTTTCATTAAGGAAAACCATTTCATTATTTTATATTTTTATTACTAAATAAGTATTGGTGTTTAGTGTTGTTGATTGTCCATTTATCTTTTCTTTTGTATTTGTGATAATTTATTGTATTTTAAAAGTAGTTTGGAAGTAAAAATAGAATTGACAAGAGAATTGTATCTTGGGCAAAGTGTTCAATGCATTGATTTAGGAAAGATTCATCCAGTACCACTCTGCATGAATTGTTGAAACCCATATGAAAATATAAATAGATAGCAACTATTTGTATCAGTAGTTTATAAATTATATTAGCACAAGCTGGAGTAAGATATATGTTGAGTATCACTACAATTAATACTGAAAAATACAAGGGTAGAATTTTTTGGTTTAGTCATATAAACAAGCATTGCCAGACTTTGCCTTGCATGTGGCAGCCAGCTCGTGACATGGCCCAGATGGAACACAGGAATGTCTTTCATAGAGGTTTTCTCTACAGGTATGAATTGAAGGGAGGAATTTGATAGTTTAGAACCCAATTGTAGTAGATGCAAGTGATTGTACATATTTAGAGAGAAGAGATGCAAAGGCCAGTTAGAAGGCCAGTTGTTGACTTGTGTGTGCCACCTGCTACAAACAATGAATATGTTGCATTATTTGCATTCATATGGCTAATATTTCAAGAACATTTTAAGCTTTTATAAGTGATATTGCTCAAATAATGAACTCATTGGTTTTGCAGTTGCACATAAATGCCATTCAAGAACATCCACTCTTTCATCTAAAATATTATTATGGTTTACTAAGCATTTAATTTAAAGGTTAAAGCTTAAAATTACACGAGAGCATGCATTAAGCTGATGGAAGAGGTACAGAATAGGAGGCTTTGTTTCAGCCCCACTTATTAGCTGGATGTATGCTGGTAATGTGCATTGTCTGTAGTATACACTGGCATACAGCTCACCTTTGGCATATGTAATGAACTTAACGGGCCATAATTTAGCTGTACTTCATAAAATGTTTATTAGTCTTCATTTTCCTTGCATAACTTTATTTCCCTTTTCAATAACAACTTGAGGATGTATTCTTTATTAGGAACTGTTCTACGTGCAATAACCTTCCTCCTCAGTCCTCGGCCATAGCTCAGCCATAGTTCTATAAATTAACGGTTCATTTTTGCTTGCAGTGTAAAGTATTTTATGGTTTATATATACTTATATTCAGTTTATTTTAATATAGAATATTGTTATTCTGCTAGTGAATTAAATTTACATGAGGAAAAGTGTGTTTTACTGTTCTTATGAAGGTACAGTATCACTATTTCATGCACAAAAATGTATGGCATGTTTCTGGCTTACCAACATTATATATACATATATATACATATATATATACATACATATATATATATATATATATATATATATATATATATATATATATATATATATATATATATATATATATATATATATATATATATATATAGTTTTCAGTTGCATATTGTCCTGGGGACCATTCAGGCTTGTTCGCATATATATATATATATATATATATATATATATATATATATATATATATATATATATATATATATATATATATATATATATATATATATATATATATATATATATATATATATATATATATACATACATTAAATATTTTTTGTTATCTTAAGTCTATTATACAGTAGTAATAAATTTTGCTCAAACAGTTCTAAAAAAAATTTTATATTCATTTAAAACAAGTGCAAATGCTCATTGGTATTGATGTAAACAAATTCGTAATTTCTTTACTACACGTAAATATTTTGTCAGCTAATGCTGAAAATGCGACATATTTTGTATCAGAATATGTATTAAACATTGTTGTGATTGGTTGATCATATATATATGTCTATTGCTGTAATTATGGTTGGTATATATCTTAAGTTTAAATTTAACCCATGTCAATTTTCTATTCCTTAAATAAATAGGACTAGGAATCTTGTCCTTGTACAGATCAGGCAGAAATCTCATGTGTATGCTATAGAATGGAACTGATTTCATTGTACTGTTGTAGTTGTGAAAAATCTGTGGATATAGACAAGAATTGCTGGCAATTGTGGAAGTGAGTATTAATTTGGTTATTGTTCTGTGTGAACTCTAGCCAGACTAAGTGGTTGCAGGTGGTAGTGATTTTATAAGTTGTTTTGTGGTCTTCAGACATTCTTTATGGGCAGTACAAATGAATGTTTGTGCATTTTTTAAAGGAAGTATATGTTGCCAAAGATATTAAAAAGTATGTAGAAAATGGCTAAATAGCTAAGCAAAGGTGAATATCACTGGATGTATCAGACTTCCTGATTTTGTGGTGAATGCAAATTGTAATGTCATTATCAAAAGTGCATGCATTGTTACTTTGGTAATTGGTCACTCTTAATCCTTTGATAGCTAGATAAAAAAAATAATGTCTCCTTGGGCTGGATTTTTGTAACCATTTAAATAAATGCTACAGTATTGTCAACCCCCAATTATACCACAAAAACAGCCCCAATCACCAGCTGGGTAATTCTCATTTTGACAATAATATACTGTATAGATATACAGTACTAATATTTCTCCCATTTACTGTACTTGCTTTCTTTTAATTTCTTAAAGAGAGTCTAAAAATGTGACAGATGATCAAAGCTCATGTGGATGAAGGTGTTGAGTGGTATTCTAATACTATAAAACTTAGTGTAGATTTCTACAAGCAAAATCATCTTTATTTGTTCTATTAAAGTTGGAGATAATTCTATAAAATTCTGTATACTGTAATCTTTTATTGTAAACAAAAATGCAGCACCATCTTCAGCAAATATATTTTAATAATCACAAAATATATTAAGTATATTGAAATTACTGTATTTTTATTATTTTTCTAATGATATACAGTATATGAAAGTGTAATGTCATATATATATTTTACTTATATATTAGGGACAATATATGTAAAGTTAAATTTTATTTTATTTTTTGAACGCGATATGTTACTTAAATGTTTCTTTAACAATTTCCCTACAAATTTTCAGTAAAGTGCTAAGCTAACATGTAGACAGATGATATGGTGATTTTTTCAAAGTAAATGGTAAAATATACTTATTTTTCAGCAGGTAATATATATACACACACACATATATATATACATATATACACACACACACAGTATTTAATAAATTTCATGAGTTTGGCCTCACCTCTCTAACAATATTATGCTTGTAAATGCTGCATTATTTTTGCCAAATACCATACAATAATTACTCGTATTGTAGTTTATTGAAATTACTGTATTTCAAGTTATTTTTCTCTAAATAATTTTCAGAAAAACAATAAATGTCAGAGTTTATACTGTATTCTTTTTTTTCGAGGTACAAGTATATATCTGTATATGTATGAACTTAAATGTGATTTTTGTACACAGCAAGTTACAGGCACATTGCCACAAACATTTTCCTGCATAATCTTCCTGTATTCACATGTGGCAGGATGGTAAAGGGGAATTCTTTTCCAAGTAGTGAAAATGACACGAATGCCACATACATGATCAGTTTGCGTGAGAAAAATCTAATATTTAAGTTTGATTTCAGACAGAAATGATTTTGTGATAATCCAGCCAGGGATCAAGCTATCCCTGTCCATTGATCAATGTAACTAGCCATCAAAGGGTTAAAATTTAGGTTGACTATTTTTATTGTCACATTACAAAATGTGAGAGAAACAAATTTTTTAAGACATTTATAAAATCCTCCAGGTTTTTTGTAGATTGAAGAGCTTGGTTTCCTTGTGCATGGAAAAAGTGTGTTACTAGCATTATTAATCTTCATTTAACCCAAATCCAACAACTTAGCAGCTATCAAAAGTATGATACTTTAGGTTTTTATCTTTGTTAGCTTTTGATACATGTGGCAAACTAAAGATATATATTCCTTAAGTTATGTACATTCTTTGTAAATTCATTATAGTTGTCCTGCACATTCAGTCTCTATATCTCACATAGTATTTTATCTTCAAAGAAAATAATCTCATTGTTTTAAATATTACAAAGCATGATTTTCTGTATTGAGATTTTAAGCACACATGGGAAAGACCAGCTTTTATATGTTATAATTTGTGTTGGCGTAAATTTTTATTTAGAGCAGTCAAGAGAAGAAATGAGTTCTTCATATGTTTAGCACATCTTTCACCCAACAGGTCATTGAACCTCAAGGGAGGCAAAATTGTGTGGACCAACGTATCTAATAGGTTTTATCAGCATATTGTGCTGGCATGTAGCCATTTGAGCAGGACTTGGCCTGTAGTAGTGCTGAGTGGTTACAGTGTTTGTGGACCATCACTTGATTGTACCATGTCTTTACATGGTTTGGGAACATGATTAATTTGCCAGATTTGACAGGTGTTCACCTCATCAGATGGATTTTTAAGTTGAAGGGTTCACAAACTGCCAAGTTGTGGACAGATGAGGAGTGGTATGTATCTACTATGTACTACATATGTAATGGAATGTTTAATTTTTTGGCATTTAACATATTTTGACAGTAGGGTATTTTCATATACTTTTGTATTGACTTATACGGTCAATGGCTTTTGCCATCCATGTTTTGTACTACACTGGGTGATCATATGATACACTTAAAGTCTCCTCTTAACCAGAAGTAATGACTTGTCTTCTCTTGTAGAACATTTATTTGTAGTAATTGACTGGGTTAGTGTCTACCACTAGCCAGGTCACCAACACCCAAATCTGTGGAAGTCCTGGGGTGGACACTTTATTTTCTGCGCAGAAATATTAACCATAATGAAGTGTTGACTACAGTCAAGTGTCACTAGCCTAGAGGACCAAGACACCAGGACCACATTATTGGGAGAAAGGTCAAATTTGTGTGAAATAAATGATCTTAAGGTACTTGTCAGTTGTTTTTTTCATTTTTGTTTGGAAGATTAAGATTTGACTTACAGTATTAAATTCTTAATGTGAACTTCACGTAAATTCATAATTCACAATCAAAATTGATCAATATAAACAGGTTTCACACAGGTTGTTTCTCTCCTTGGGCACTCGCATGTAGTGTGAAGTGGACCAAGAAAGAATGGTGTCTTCATGAAATATTTAAACACTATTACATCCAGTCCATTCAAATTTAAAAAATGGTGATCAATATTTTCCTTCAGTTTCATGAAGACATTACATGCTTTTGTTGGTAGATTCTTTGCAACCATGTATAAGTGGCTTTACAAATACTGGAATTGTGCATCTTAATGAGTAAAGAAATTATCAAATTAAATGATATTTTATAAGCCTTTAATAATTTAATGTATATGAGCAGGTATATATAATTAAAAAATTTAATATAATTAAAAATATATTTTGGTGTTGTTTAAGACTAAGAAGTATAATTTTATAGGACGGTAGGTGCTCGTTTAGACTGTAGTACATCCACAATAGTTCATTAGCCATTTCATATTCCAGGTGTAAAGTACTCAGAATTGTCACAGTATATACACCTTTATTCTATTACAATAAACTATTTTCTCTTCTGTTCATTTCTATTCTTCATAGTTGTCTATCGTCTTGGTCTGTTATTTTTGTACACTCAAATTTATGTGAATGTACTTTTCACACACTTATTATCCATATTCAACATTATCTTTCATCCACCTCATGGCTGGAGTCTTTATATAGCCTCTCGAGCATTCACAGCGTCACTAAAGTGATGTACTAAATTCCCTGAACCTAACCAAGGACCCATGAATAGAAAATGGGACATCACATACATTTTGCGAGCCGATATGATTTTTAATACTGTACATCTTACTTTGACATTGGAGATTTTTACATCAAAATACTTTGTTATGCGAGAGGACAGGGTGGGGTGGAAGTAGTAGTAGTTTTTTTTTTTTTTTTTTTTTTTTTTTTTTTTTTTTGAGTGTGTGAGTGGTGGGCAAAGTTTGGAAATGGAAAATATAGTATGAGTTACGATAGCAAGCTGGCAGTCCAACGTGCTGACACGTGTGTGTCTGTGTTATCAGTTAACCTAAGCTTGCTCTCTCTTCTCAGGGAACTACATGGTTTTCTACATGTACAGCATTAATATGGATATCTGTACATGTAATTGGAATACTGTGTAGCATTTACATATTCTGTACACACGGATTCTTTCACACATGCATTGAGGTTCTGTTTAATTAGTATTATTTATTTATATATTATATTATTTTAATTTAAGAGGGGGGGATGGGTTTTTGATAAGTTTTTCATCTATGAATTATGTATTGCGGGGAAGGGGGGATGGGTATTTGCGGTCACTAGTGTGGGTGGGTGGGTGTGAATGTAAATTCCAAGGTAACCATATCTAAACCTAATGCAGCATTAAGAATTTAGACAAGAAATAACCAGTTTGATTTTCCCTGAATATTTCCATAAAGTTTTACAAAAGACCTTAGGCAAGAAAACTTATAAAAGAAATATTTAAAGCAGAGTTGAAGTCTTTATCGCCTGTGTTATTACCGTGAAGAGGGTAGAGGTCTGGCCGATAGTGTCTCTACCATGACGCTTGGATGTGATGACTGCCTCGGCCTGAACCCTTCAAACATGGGCAGAAAAGGAACACGGCGAGTCCAGTCCCACCTGCAACGTAGAAAATACAGTTTTATGGGATTCTACTGATGGGTTACCCTCAGAGATGAATTTGGCCTTTGCAGAATAACACGGAGCTGAACAATTTTACCAGGTATAATTTCAGGAATGTAGTCACACATTACATTTTGTCATGCACTTAATTCAGCAGAAGAACCATTTTAATTCACTGCTGAATATGCGTTTCATTAACAATTATCATTAGCTGCTATTGCTTCTTAATTTTACTACTTTACATAAAAATAAATATCTTAAATGAAATTGGGTTACATTTTCATTTTATTTACTAATATAATACTTTTGGGTGTCTTCCCTTGTACTGTGGAGGAAGAGAAAGAGAGAGAGGAAAGAGGCAGAAGATAATCATTAGGTTTATTTTAAGAAAGTCAGTAACTGGGTGAAACATCTTCAACAATAACCTTTTAATTCTTGTTGTTGTTCTGTGCACTTGATCACGAGTCTTGCCAGTTTTGGCAATGTAAAGTACATCACTGGAATTGCAGGTCATTTCCTTCAGTATATCTGATCTTACCCCAGGTAGATACCATTACGTTTATTATTTTTTTCTGTGAACTAAGCAAACTAATTTTCCCATATTTTTTTTTAACAAATCTACCAGGAAAAATAAAAATTTAAAATAAACAGTAGTGTACAAAAAATGAGAGCAGAGCAGAAGATAAATTCCATGGCATATACACAGGTACCTGGTTACCTGGTTGATGGGATTCTGGGAGTTCTTCTACTTCCCAAGCCCGGCCCGAGGCCAGACTTGACTTGTGAGAGTTTGGTCCACCAGGCTGTTGCTTGGAGCGGCCCGCAGGCCAACATACCCACCACAGCCCGGACCAAGGTTGGTCCGGCACTCCTTGAAGGAAACAATCTAGTTTCCTCTTGAAGATGTCCACGGTTGTTCCTGTAATATTTCTGATGCTTGCTGGTAGGACGTTGAACAACCGTGGACCTCTGATGTTCATACAGTGTTCTCATACAGCGTTCATACAGGTAAGTTAAAAATTATTGCAAAAAAAAACTCAACTGCAATAGTATGCTATGCCACCTTTAACCATTCTCAAAGATACACAAAGAAGTACCTATAATTTACTTATATGGTCATTTATATAGTACCCATCCACCAAAGAGCATAACTCTCCCTTAGTGCCTTCATCTTAAATAAGACAATTGTCTGCTATTACTTTTTGCTATACAGTAAATTATATATGCTACTGTAACTATTATCTCTTAAAACTAATATTTATAATTAATTATATTTGCCACTATAGCATTCAGCTGCTATACAGATAAACTAAATTTCATATGCATAAATTTGAAATATTATTGTGCACATTTATATACATTAACACATTTTGGCGTTATTACCACCGCATGCAGGAGATTGTAGTGACTTTATTCATAAATTAATTAAATTATAAACAAATATAAATATATATGCAGTAATATAAATAATCTAATCATACCCTATATACTATATTTTTTTTACAAACATACAATTATTATTATAACCAAAACAGTTTAATTAATACTGTGCTGAAAAGTTGACATTGATGATTGTCGATGATAATTCTGTATTATTTATGTAAAGTACATTATTTATTATATTCAAATATTGATTCTGTGGTTACTATTATTTTTTCATAATTGTCACTTTCATTATAAATATTTCAAACATTTATCAGCAATGCTTTCATCCACAAAATCTGTACAGGAGAAACTGCTTTTCCAGAGCCGCTAAGGAGACCAAGCTGGCAATATCTGCGAAGCGTTAATATTAAACAACCCGAGCTGACTGCATCTTACGGGCTATTCATGCCCGTGCCACCTCTTGCGGTGGCTTAATCTTTATCAATCAATCTGGCTGCATTAACTCATCGCACCAGCTGTGTATATAACTATATCCTACTGATAATCGCGAAGACAAGAGTAAGGAGGGGTTAACTAGACTGACCTAGCAAGGTGCTTCATGCCGTAGGGCAGGTCGTAGCAGCGGGCAGCAGGGTCCGAGGACGGCTGCAGGGGCCGCTGGGCGTCAAGGTGGTAGTTCCACTGCAGCAGTCCGCGCTCCTCCTCTGTGCCTGCCGGCCAACACAACTAACTCTTAGTAGTCGCTAATCTTTCATTGGCCAGTGTTCAAACGTGTGTTACTAGGTCCACACGTGTGTCGCCAGGTCCACAAAGAAACGAAGATCAACTCTTGCAACTAAGTGAGTATAAATGTGTCTCCATATCCACAAATGTGTCGCCAGGTTCACAAATGTTATCACCAGGTCAACACAGGTGTAACCAGGTCAACACATGTGTAGCCAGGTCCAACACAATATGGTCAGTCGTTGGATGTCACTAGGTCCAACACACGTATCAACAGGTCCAACACGTGTCACCAGGTCCAACACATGTCACCAGGTCCACAAATGTGTCGCCAGATCTATACATGTTTTGCACTCAATCACAAAAGTACATAAGACTCATTTTAATTCCCTAGTTTGAAATATGAATAGAACAATTATAACTTGAATGCTAATTTCGCTCCCTTTACCATACTGTACACCATACAGTCTCCCACCCTCAAACCCTTGAAAGGTTCAGAGCGCGTAAGGCTAAGAGGAGGGGCATAAAGAGCTACATCTCACTTCCCTGTAGTCACTTATAGGTAAGCACCCATTCTCTCTCTCCCCCACCCTCCCTCTCTCTCTCTCTCTCACCCTCTCTCTCTCCACAACCCTTTTTTTGACAGTTTATCTCTCCCACCCGCTCTCTTTCATCCTTTCTTATCCACTCTTTTTCTCCGAACTGTCCCACCCTTTTTCCTTGCATATCAAATTCAAAAATGAAAAAAAGAATAGAATATCCTTTCTCTTCCTTTATTTTTGTCGCACACTATAATCCCCCCCCCCCCCCTCTCTCTCTAATGAGTGAGAACACATGGATAGTTGTGTAAGATCATCATACCTGGCATACTGTTGTCGAGAATGAATCCCAGCAAACCCCCAACAAACATGGAGGTCTGCAACAGAGAGGTGAGGCTTTTGTCCAGCACTGACCAACCTGTGTTTATTCCTTCTGGGTTCTTTGCCACCCACTGAAATAAATAAATAAGTAAATGCCCTCCATGAAGGCTTGTTAATATGCTCCATTTTAATTCAAATTAATATTTGAAAGGGTAATGATAATCAGTGATAAAAACAATTATATACTTCTGGCAGAGCGAGTCCCATGAAGATGGAAAATCCAAGAACCAAGAGGTTCCTGTTGGAGTTGAGGTCGATGATCCTGAGGGTGGAGAGCCCAACGCCTGTGATGAGGGAGAACATGAACACGAGGGTGCTGCCCAACACAGGTTCTGGGATGGTGGCGAACACCGCCCCTATCTTGCTGAATGTGCCAGCCACCAGCATCATCACAGCGCTCACCTGCACCACCCGACGACTGGCCACCTGTGGTAAAGGTAACACTCTCACAGTTACACCAAGGATGATGTAGGCCTGAAAAGCTCCAACGATGCTATAATAAATGTATTTTACTTGATACACTCGGCTCTTGAAAATAATAAGCACCCCAACAGTGTCCTCCTCCTAAAATTATAGTACTCGTATTAACTATTTATTAAAAGTACACAAATGTTCGTTAGCAGCCAACTGTGTTCACATTCTGTGCTATTGCTTATGTAGAGGGTAGGGAAAAAATAAGCCCAAAACCATACTAAAACATTTCTAGACCTAGTATAGTATACACATGTACTATATACACAGATGGTAGAGCCCTCGTCTCCCAAGCCGGATGTCGGGCGTTCAAGGCTCCCAGTGCCTGGGAGAATGATTGTACCAATACTATATTAGGTCTAGGATAACGTATATTAGGCTAGGATTGCTTAGACAGATTAAGTTAGGTTGTTTACTTAAATTCCCAATTTTGTTAACATGCCATTTGTACCAATTATAACAAAGTGTGAACTCTTGGGGCAAACAATAAATTTGTGTACGTTTGACCAAATAGTTGATAAAAGTACTCACATTTTAGGAGGATAGGCTGTTCCATATAATATACTTGGCGCCCCATGTAAAAAATTCTATCCTAGATCGTGAAGTGTCTCGGGTTAAGTCCTCTTTACGCACCAAGAAAGATCATGTGTTCTTCCAGGCAAGAACCACTGCAAATACCTTAGTAACACCGATGAGGACGATGTTGGAGGTATAGGAGGCGGTACCACTGCTGGTGCCGAAGAGTCCAGCCAGGACACAGCCAATACCCTCGAACGCCACGCCCCGGTTCACGGCATGCACTGGTGGTGAGGCAGTCTCTAGTGGCAGAGTTAAGGAGAGAAGTGTGACGATAGAGTGTTGCGTTGGAATGTCTTTGTCAAATAAGGGTGCTTCACCCTTGGACTTGATCAGTGAATATCAGTTTTTATATCAAGACAATCTTTTTAGGTGACACGATAATTAAATTATGTACGCACACACATGTGCATAAAGAACAATATTAACACATACGCATACACAGTGTATATGGTTTCCCATAGTTAGGGACAGGAAGCTTGCCAGGTTTATCGAAGCAACCTTAAGCCAACAATTGACACCTTCCAGAAAACAATCAAATAGTTGACATGTCCAAACATCTCGTCATGTCCAAAAATCGAACCCGGATAATTAGGTGGGGAGCTGACGACACTGACAATCGAGCACCTACCTGGTCACATATAATAAGTATTTGGAACAGTCATACATTTTAAGATGTTCTTTGGTTGGCGCAGGTAAGAGACTCACTGCAGAGATTGGCGCATGCGTAGTAGTCCCCGATGCTCTCGATGATGGAAGCGATGACACTTGCAGTCACTCCGATCACCGCAGCCACACTCACCGTCGGCATTCCCCACTGACCTGCAACATGCAACACTATAGCCACCATCATGCACAGTATGATGCAGTATGCAACATCGTGTAATGTCACCTGACCAGCATAAACTGAAGCTCACCATGCATGCACTTACTGAGTCCCTTAGAATAACAGAATGTCAGTAAGAAATACAATAATAATATGAGCAATACTAATATTCAGGTTATCCAAGAAGTAAGAATATTAACGTGAAAGAATTTCATTTGACAAGGCTGATGGATACATCCATTTGGGATATCTCGCCCAGTTATACTTGAGGGAGCGACCTTCTCTTGATCACTTTCATGGGTAAACCCACTATAAAGACTTCATATATATAGCCCTATATAACAGGGACTTGGGTAGTTGAATACTGACCAGGGTAGCTAAATACTGGATTGGGTATCTAAATACTGGATTGGGTATCTAAATATTGACCAGGGTAGCTAAATATTGACTGATAGGTAAATACTGACCTGGGTAGGGGACTCTGAACCAACTGGAGTCGTGGAGCAAAGAGCCTGTGGAGTCAGTGCGAGCGAGGGATCCCTGAGGCAGGAGGTCCCAGGCAGTCAGCACCCCACACACGGCCCACGAAAAGCACATCACCAGCAGCAGCTAACTCACATCACCGAGGATGGGAAGGATGTGAAGATTATCATCATTTGATTAGTGTATTGAGAATATTTGGAGCAATGTTCAGTCATGTGGTGTTTAAAGATTCTAAAAATATTACCTTTCAGTCCAATTTGGATATAACTTTCGGGTCTGAATACAATGTAAAGTTAACGCTGGTATACCTTATATAAACCAATCGGTTCCATGCTCAGTTCACATAATCACACTTTTTGCAGGCGATGAGTCACAATAACGTGACTGAAGAATGTTGACCAGACCACACACTAGAAGGTGAAGGGACAACGACGTTTCGGTCCGTCCTGGACCGAAAGTCGAAGTCGATTGTGAATGTAGTAGTCGTGTAGTAGAATGTAGTAGCACAATCGACTTGAGAATGGTCCAGGACGGACCGAAACGTCGTCGTGCCTTCACCTTCTAGTATGTGGCCTGGTCAGCATCACACTTTTTGACTGACGTGTGTGCCTACAGCAGGCTCCCAACTTACCGGGAAGTAGGTGAAGAGCGGGAACCAGGCTATTTGGAAACCCCTTTGAGGGCTGTAGGTGGGGAGGGGCGTCTTGACGTCTTTCAGGTACTGCGACACCAGCACCAGCAGCAGAAGCGTCCTGTCGGAGTGATACACGTTACTTCACACATCACAACCGATCAGCATTAGGCCATTGCAAAATGCTTTGAAGAATGGTCGGAGATCAACAAGTTGACTGACTCGTGAACTTCTCGGCAACCATCCATCTTATCTATCCACCCACCTCAATCTCTCTTCTCTCTGTGATATCTCTTTCTTCAGTTACGCATTCTGAAATTATTTCTTTCATCCCACTCTGAAGAAATTTACTATAATATTTTTCCATGTGTTCAGATATTCACTGCGTCCCTTGGTAATTTACAAGCACACTTCATAAAATTATTCCCATCAACTTCTGTAAATGCACACGCCAGCAGTTTCTCCAATATAGATTACAAAAATTAGTGTTATTGTAAAATACACCGAAAATCTCACTACACGTATATAACTGTAATGAAAATACAGTACAAGTAACCAGACCTTATGAAACATTTTTAAGTACTCGTAAAAACGGCGCAAACCTGCGTACATTGCAGAGACTCCCCAGTGGGTGGCAGCTTGCTTAACCCCGAGGGAGAAGAGTGAGAGTCCCAGCATAGTGATGGTGGGTATAATAGTGAGAGGCGTCACCCAGCGCATGATCATACCCACCAGACCTGTGTGCGAGGGGAGAAATCATGCGCTTGTCAGCATTGCAATCATATAATATTTATTAAACAATTATATTATTCTATATTGTCATTAAGCAAATATTTTAACAAGGGATGAAGGCAGTTGCAATGACTTTTACATTAATCGTAATAACTAAGTGTAGCTGTAGTCAGAGACTACAAAATTTGTACCAACAAAAACCAAGGGAGTTGTGTCGGGTTAAGCTATACTCGGGCCCCAGGGCCACCATCTAGACAAGTTACCTTATACAGTACCTGGAAGACTCACCAGTGTAGCCGACAAAGACCTGGAAGAGGGCCGAGACAGTGATGGCCCCCTGGATCTCCCTCATCCTAATCTGCCACTCCTCTTCCTTCTGTGACGCCGTCATGTTCTTCAGGTCTAGGCTGTCGCAGGAGGGAAAGGACATGGAGAGGATGGTGATGGTGGGCATCAGGTAGGCGAAGTTGGCCCCCTGAATGATGGGTAGTCTGTTGACCGAAGAGACATGGTCAAAGACAGAGATAATAGATGGTAACTTGGGTCTCAGTATGATTGGTAAGAGAGAGAGAGAGAGAGAGTGATGCTAAAGGTAAAAAAAAATAATCTCCTTCTTTAAATTGAGAACCCAGTTACTATTGACAATTTCATGTTAAGGATCTATAAATATACAAGGAATTAAACTACTTGTAACACTGCTTAAACTGAGCATGAAGAAATGAGACTATTATGATCTTTCTTGGTCAAAATTTATTTTATTGACTAACATTTCATGTGACACACTTTTACTGCTATCGTTAGAGTCTTTATGATGTGTCACATGACAAGAAGTGCTCTATGTGTGTCACATGACAAGAAGTGCTCTATGTGTGTCACATGACAAGTGCTCTATGTGTGTCACATGACAGGGAGTGCTCTGTAATGTATGTTACGTGTCAAGAAGTACTCTGTCATGTGTGTGTCAAATGTCAAGAAGGTCTTTGCTATAACTATTAAAGTGGAATTAGCAAAGGCTAACATGTCACAACGAGCTCTGTACAATGGTTGTCAAATACCGTACGACAGTTCTAAGTGATGCCGAATGCTAACACATCCTTTAATATATGGCTCAGTGTTAAGAAGTGTTTCCTGTAGTCATGTGTTTAGACCTGCCTTAGGGCAAGTGTTCGGCATCAACAAAGTGCTGTCAAGCAATGTCAAGCTTCACAGATACTTGAGGATCTCGTAGTACATTTAGCTTCATTCTCTACTCACAAACGGGGATCCCGGGTTCGATTCCCGTGCGTGACAGACATGGTTGAGCACATTTCCTTGCACCTAATGTCTGTGTTCACCTAGCAGTATATAGTTAGGCAACTGTTGTGGGGTTGCTCAATAAAATGAACTTTTAATTAATTATGTTAGATGGATGTCGAGAGGCATTCCAGTAAAGTCTACAAATGTATTTCACTGATGTAGAGTGCTCTATGTGTGTCACATGTAGTGTCACAGAGTGTCTATGTGTGTGTGTAGAGTGTCGAGATGTGTGCATCCCAACGGTGCGGTATCACAGGGGTGTCAGAGGCACGAGTGACCTACCTGATACCGAATGTGGCCTGGAGAAGTGTAATGATACCGGAGGCGAAGATGATGGTGGAGACGAGGTCGCCCCGTCGAGGGTCCGTCGCTTCCATACACAGTAAGGAGATAATGATCAGAGGAGTTGCTATCGTTCCCCCAATGAAGATTAGGAAGTGCTGGTGGGGAGAAGGACAGGTCATGAGGGGTCAATATATACTGTGATTCACCAGGGGTCAATGTGTACTGTAGGTTACGAGGGGTCAATATGCACCATTGTAGGTTGCGAAGGGTCAATATACACTTATACTACAACTATTTTACTAAGGTTTAGAGTGTTTCTAGATAGTAAAGTACTAGGTGAGTTAGTAGCACAAGGTGGGATACTATGGTGATGAAGTTAGGTGCTTCATCGTTCAATTTTTTAATAAAGTAAAGGTTAAATAATTGTTTACTTCATCAGGAAGGTGGGTCCATATATGTTTGATCCCTCTACATGCATGGCATGTTTGTATAAATTTAGTCTGACTGGGAATATCAAAGAGGTATTTACTTCTTGTGTGATGTTCTTGGATTCAATTACAACCATCCAGGAAGAGTTTCAAAACAAGATCAGAATGTAGGAATAAGGCTTTGTAAGTGTAAATAGTACAAGAGTATGTTTGGAGTGAATGTATGTTTAGCATGTTCGGGGATTTGAACAGAGGAGGGGGGGGGGGACTGTATGTGTATTGTCATTATTTGTTTTTCCACGAAGAGCTTACTTTAGCCCCGGACTATGGTCAAGACTTTAGCCCCGGATGTTTATGACATCGTCTGATGTACTTCATCTATTTTTTCAATAATATTACTTTTGTTTTGTAGTACAGGTTAATATTAGCCATAGAGCACCACGAAGGCGAGAAGGAATCGCATCTACCTGGAAGCCGAAGAGGAGACATTGGTACCATGGAGGAATATCCTCCACGCCATAGAGGAGATCATCGGAGGGGGCTTTGGCGTTCTCCTCCTCCGGCTCATCAACTTGCTCTTGTTCCTCCTCCTGTGGTCTAGCGTCCTCCCCCTCCTCCTGGTCGAGGGACAGTGAAAACTTGGTCCTCATATTCTGTTATCTAGGAGAAATAGGATGGGATGTGATGCTCTCTAGTGGTCTGAGAGAGAGAGAGAGAGAGAGAGAGAGAGAGAGAGAGAGAGAGAGAGAGAGAGAGAGAGAGAGAGAGAGAGAGACAGAGACAGAGAAAGAAGAGTGAGGGAGTGGGAGAGAAGAAGGGGGCAGAGACAACTACAGCTGCTGTATTATTAGACAAGAATGGACAGTTAGGCCGAAGTAATCATACACATCAGAGGCACAAAATTTGACATTTAACTTAGTTTATAGTCTCAAAACATTAATTCAACTAGTTCTTAAAGGTCTGTTATGCATCTGTGCCCATAATATTAGACACTATTTTACTATCCCTGTGCTCTATGCCTCTATTCATTACCTCTCTCTTCAACGAACATTTCTTATCAATGTATTAGAATATTTTCAGTTCCATTGTTTAATTATCACTCTTGCTGATGCTTCATAAGAGAAAAGAAGTTATTCCCAGAGTCTTTTTTACAGCTAATGTAATATTTAGCAATGAAGTTAACGCGCAATCTTAAATATTAGATTTAGAAGCTGGAAAATAAGTAACGTGACAACACGAACAATATACTTCACTAGATCTCATAGTAATTATCTCATATACCCCAAGTTTATATATATTCCTCAACCAGATCAAGAATTTGTACTAGTTTCAAGAAACATTGAGTTTTGCAAGATTAATGGGGGACTCGAGTATAGTGTGTTGCAGATGTCAGGTACGTCGATCATTCAGTGTTTTGTTTCAACGTGTGCAGATGTACTACGCTAGGGGATGGTATAAATATCACAAACCACGGAGCTATGTGCAGGCGATGAGTCACAATAACGTGGCTGGAGTATGTTGACCAATCCACACACTAGAAAATGAAGGGACGACGACGTTTCGGTCCGTCCTGGACCATTCTCAAGTCGATTGTGTAGACCATTTGACTTGAGAATTGTCCAGGACGGACCGAAACGTCGTCGTCCCTTCACCTTCTAGTGTGTGGTCTGGTCAACATGGAGCTATGTGTGTGTGTGGTTACGTCTAATAACAGGTTTTACCTGTATTTATCTGTTGGTCACACTATATAGTGGTCATGGAAATCCCAAGCTTGATTATATATATATATCTTGAAGGGTTCCCCTATTGCAACAACTGATCAACACAATACCTTTATCTGGCGCTCCGAGCCTCCACAGCTCCAAATTAATTGTTTCAAAACGGTGTGCAAACAACTAGTAAGCGCAGTACCGCGTATATACATAGGTTGTGTACAGCAAAACTATGATTTTAAGTTTGCGACCGAAGAGCACCTGTTGCAAGCCGTGCAACTTCGCCAACACTCCAATTAATCCAGACTCGTCAACCTTTTTCTTAAAACTAATCTATACATATGTGTGTGCATAACAAATCATATTTTTATTGCGGTGGCGAGGTAGAAAATAACAGTAGTTTATAAAAATATAATCTGCACCTATATGTGCTCCAGTTTTTTGTGGCGATGAGAAATATTGACAGGTAAAATAAGGAAGCAGCAACCAAAACTGAACTCTGTGACGTCATTCAGTTGCCAAAGTTGATTTCATGAGGCTTAAGGCCTATATATCAACCGCGGGAATGTTATTATAGGCCTCCACGTACAAAAGCTTACTGATAAACCAGAATGTATATGTACTTTAGTCCTGATTTATAATGTAGACTCTCAGGGAATACACATCGAGAAACATTTGTTCATGGAGAAAGAGCTATATGAGTACAACTTTAGCGGCGCACGTAAAGCTATCTGCCAATTTTCTTTTTATACACCGATATATTTGTTATTAGTACTTTATAAACTTACTGTTTAATACAAAATATAGTAAAATATAAAATACTCCAGTAATTGTTATTAATTCTAAGAATATTAAGCTTATTATTTAATAATATTTGTATTATTATTATTATTATTGTATTGTATTTTTGTATTTTCTTACAGTGTATTTTTATACTTTCTTACAATGTATCTGCAAACATTTTTTTTTAATTTGGCTAGAAATTACCTTCTTAAAATTATATGTTAGAATAAGGATCTGCCCGAAACGCTATGCGTGCTAGTGGTTTAACAAGAATGTATAACTTCAAGTCTCTGCTATACTCTAATAAACCCAATGTACCTTCTTGTACATAAATAAATAAATATATTTCTGTGCCTTTTCTGTTCAGTTTTTGCTTGTTATGTAGCCTCTTTTGTTGTTATTATTTATTAACAAAGGGGTATACACACAACAATGAACGTACCGCTATCCTATTGTATGTGCGGAATTCTCCCATCTCACAGGATGGTTAGTCACACAGGAGGACACATGGCATTAGAGGGTAAGTTGTTGTTGTTAAAGATTCGCTACCTGGAACAAAGTTCCAAGTAGCACGGACTATGGTGAACCCGTAGGAGTTTATTTTATTTTTTTGAGGGTAAGTGTACTAGCCTCTGCACTAGCAAACTGCGAGGAGCACAGCAATATCTTCCAATATTCGTAAATGTATGAAGTTCATGACATTTCATACAAATGCATGAAGAATATACATAGCTCAAAGTATCTCATACCTTTATAGTTTAGTTGGAGAAAATAAAGTTTGATGAATAGTCATCAAACTTTGATGACTATTCATCAAAGAGGTGATGAATATAGTCCTTATGTTCGCACTTCATTAAATCTAACCTAAACATCATTCAAAGAAACGTTGATCTGGGTGTTCGTTAATGCGCTCTGTACCTGCACTGCTCCAGATCACAAACAATAACCCACACAAATCAGAGTCTGAAACCCGGCTTACATTGCTTTAAACCTCAGTCTTGTGTGTTGGCATTTATCTGAAACACTCCACATTAGTTCGTCCTGCCACGTCCACAATCAACTCAGTTTTACGCCCAAATAGTTTACTGGAACACTCCTATGACCATGCATGGAACACAACAAACCACACGGCCACATCACAACGTAAGGAACTGACAGACTTTCTCTCCGACTCAAACAGGTTTGGATATATTTCCTGCGTGCATGGTCACGACCAGTGGCCCATTCTCCCGTTTTCTATACCTAGACAACCCATTGTTGTTTTGCACAAGTAAACAACTTACACAAGTAAATAACTTACATAGATAAACAATATTATTATTATTATTATTATTATTATTATTATTATTATTATTATTATTATTATTATTATTATTATTATTATTAACAAGCTTTGGAAAACACCGCAAAGTGCTACTACTCTATTCTTCGTGAAGGATTACAGAATATAGATAGAAAGCTAACAATATTAGTTCATCCAATATCCCCATCATACAGAATACTTAGTCACACAGATATTTACAATAGAACAAGGAGAAGCTCTTGCACTAAATGAGGAGGAGGCAAACCATGGAATCTTGGAGGAATTTGACCTCACCAGTGATGAGGTCAAAAGGTGTCTGCAGGAGCTGGATGTGACAAAGGCTGTTGGGCCCGACAGAATCTCACCATGGATACTAAAGGAAGGTGCAGAGGCACTAAGTGTGCCACTCTCTATGGTGTATAACAGGTCACTGGAAACAGGAGACCTATCAGAGAGTTGGAAGACAGCTAACATAGCCCCAATATACAAGAAGGGTGACAGGCAAGAGGCACTGAACTACAGGCCAGTTTCCCTAACTTGTATACCATGCAAGGTGATGGAGAAGATCGTGAGGAAAAGGCTCGTAGAGCATCTAGAGGGAAATAACTTTGTAACGCACCACCAACATGGGTTCAGAGATGGTAAATCGTGCCTCATAGGTTTAATAGAATTCTATAACTAGGCAACAAAAATTAGGCAGGAAAGAGAAGGGTGGACCGACTGCATTTTCCTGGACTGACAGAAAGCCTTTGACACAGTACCCCATAAAAGGCTGGTAAAAAAGTTGGAGCATCAGGCAGGAGTAAAAGGGAAGGTGCTCCAGTGGATAGGGGAGTACTTAAGCAACAGGAAACAGCGAGTAACGGTGAGGGGGGAGACATTAGAGTGGCGAGATGTTACCAGCGGAGTCCCACAGGGCTCAGTACTTGGACCCATCCTGTTTCTAATATATGTAAACGATCTTCCGGAGGGTATAGACTCGTTCCTCTCAATGTTTGCTGATGATGCAAAAATTATGAGAAGAATCAAGACGGATGAAGATAGACAGAGACTACGGGATGACCTGGACAAAGTGGAGGAATGGTCTAGAAAATGGCTGCTAAAGTTCAACTCAGGAAAGTGCAAAGTAATGAAATTAGGCGAAGGGAGCAGGAGGCTGAACACAAGATACCATCTGGGAGGTGAAATCCTGCAAGAGTCAAATAGAGAGAAAGATCTGGGGGGTTGATATAACACCGAAATTGTCCCCAAAGGCGCACATCAAAAGGATATAATCAGCGGCATATACTATGGCCAACTGGCCAACATAAGAACTGCCTTTAGAAACTTGCGTAAGGAATCGTTCAGGACCTTGTATACCACTTATGTCAGACCAATCCTGGAATATGCAGCTCCGGCCTGGAGTCCATACCTAGTTAAACACAAGACAAAGTTAGAGAAGATTCAGCGGTATGCCACCAGGCTCGTCCCGGAACTGAGAGGAATGAGCTACGAAGAAAGGCTAAAGGAGCTGAATCTCACGTCCCTGGAAAACAGAAGAATAAGGGGAGACATGATAACCACCTACAAAATTCTCAGGGGAATTGACAGGGTGGACAAAGACAAAGTCTTCAGCACGGGTGGGACACGAACAAGGGGACACAGGTGTGGAAATTTAGTACCCAGATGAGCCACAGAGACGTTAGAAAGAATTTTTTCAGTGTCAGAGTAGTTAATAAATGGAATGCACTAGGCAGTGATGTGGTGGAGGCTGACTCCACACACAGTTTCAAATGTAGATATGATAGAGCCCAGTAGGCTCAGGAATCTGTACACCAGTTGATTGACAGTTGAGAGGCGGGACGAAAGAGACAAGCTCAACCCTCGCAAGCACAATTAGGTGAGTACACAGATAATGAGGAGAAAACCACTTTTCGTCTTGGTGATTCAAACACGCTATGGCGATAACATTTTAGTAATAAATTTAATTATTAATATCTTTAATTATAAATGATATTAATTTGAAGGTAATAATAATGGTAATAAACATAGGTGAAAGTTTACCCTGGGTAAAATAACTTAATATTAATGTTTTAAGTTAATGCACTGTACTTGTTGAACTAAAATGACTTGAAGTTTAACATCGTGAGATTAACTTTATATGTTAAACTTGGTAAGTGTAACAAGGGTAAATTGAATAATGTGTTACTTCCAGAGAGTAAGTCTAACAATGAAGACTTACATTGGTGAAAGTGCTACCTTGGGTAAAATAACAATAATACAGTAGCATTGTATGAGGTTAACATTGTATTGCCGGGTGTGGGGCCAATTCAATTCAATTTCTTTCTTTATTATGCAGCCCATACCCATCCCGTGGGCGGTGGTGTATAGGATTACAGAGGCACATAATCGGTTCAGGAACTGAACCCTCTAGTTCATTTAGCTAAGCAAATAACAATCTTTTGACGCTAGTTACACAATTATTAATGTTATATATACATGTACACATACTCATATATACATTATCATATATATATACATATACATATTTAATCACCGACACAAATACACACATCAATAATCTTTAGTATCACAAGTGATTAACAAGAGGCTCACAACAGTCACTATACAAGGCACTTTACATCTATAGTGGGTCACACAGTTACTAGTCTTACTCCACACCCACCCAACTGGGCGGCAGCTTTACAGTCATGTGCATGCATTACCTGCAGTAAGTAAATTTGGGATACTTCGCTAAGATTTCGGGTAGTACATCATTATGAATGAAGTACTTACACATTTCTTGGACACTATTGATGGTGTTATCTCTAAATTCCGCGATTTTTAAGCAGTAGTTGGTCTAATCTAAGGGACCTTGATGCGCTTATCATGTCCTTTGTAACTTTTCCAGCACCGTCCAGATGAGTGTGGTGGTGCATAATAAATAAACTAAATTCTCTCTAAATAACTAACTATGCAACCATTCGTACCACGTGCTTGTGTTTTGCCTTCGATCAGCTGATGCTCTTCTAGTATCATAATAACATCTCATATTCTATTATTAATGGGTCTAGTCCGTGAGGATATCTCTAGTCATATAATGCTATAAGGCCAGTCATATAGGCCTTCACCTCCAGGACCTCACTATAGCCCCAATACTCAATTATTACAGTTTAAAATGAAATTACTTTCCCTCGACAACAGAAAAAAAACTCCCCACAGAACAAAAAAATTATTTGTAAGAATTTAATTTATAACTGAAAACAGGGAAATGGACAAAACAAATTACGTAGCCGTATTTAATAATAGTATACAAAAAGATCCCTGGATCTTCACTTGGCATAAAAGACATTTCTAGAATATGAAGCTATAGTGTTTACTCCCAGGTGGTCAAGAGTGGTTCCCAGGTGGTATGAATTACTTTGCCTGTCCGTGCTAGTGCCTTTGCAAGAATGTAAAAAATATCGCTCTAATGTAATCTCGCCAACCCATTGTACCTTGTTGTAAATCAAAATATTATAATTATAGTGTAGAGGCGTGTGCAGGGAGCGTGAGAACGTTGTGTGGCCGGCCGCCGCCTGCTGGCCCTCTGGACCAACGTTAGTGTGTGGTGGCTGGCCTTCACGGTGGTGTCCCGGGGTAACCTTCACTCACCTGGCACAACTAGGTGAGGTACACTGTTCCAAGATAAGGACATGGACCATAGTCTTCTAAGGTACGGACCACGGTATCCCAAGACTGTCCATGGACACGGACCACAGTATCCCAGGACTGTCCATGGACACGGACCACAATATCCAAGGACATGGTCCACAGTATCCAAGGGCATGTACCACAGTATCCAAGGGCATGTACCACAGTATCCAAGGACATGGACCAAAGTATCTAAGGACACAGACCACAGTATCCAAGGACACTGACAATAGTATCCAAGGACACTGACAATAGTATCCAAGGACACTGACAATAGTATCCCTGGACACGGACCACAGTTTACAAGAACACGGACCACAATATCCCAGGACATGGACCACAGTATCCCTGGACACGGACCTCAGTATTCTAGAGTGCGGACCGCAGAGCCCATTGGACAGCGACCGCAGTGCTGATTGTCGAAGATCAATGCCCTCCTGAGATATCTCCTGAGGTGTTTTGGTAACCTTCATTGTGGTCTAATTCCTCTTTGAGTTGGGGCCCTAGTCTAAGGTGGTGGGCTTATTTACACACTTTGGGTCGTGCATGACGGTGAAAGGGGAGTCACTATGGACTAAAGAAAAATTAAGTATACTAGGCACTGCAGTGTTACACACAAGCAAAAAGTGTACTGTACCTGAATTTACCTGAACTAAAATATCTAGTGGCTTTATTCAGGTTGAGTAAATTCTTTGATTCGAGCTTCCTGTCTCCTGGTGATACATGGGTTGACCCAACCGATACTTGGGTCAGATTCCCATAGGGTTCGGATCAGTCATTCAGGAAGATTTTGCCTTTTTCTCTGCTGGTAGAGTTGTGATGGACTAGGTGCCAAGTCTAGAGCTAGATTCTGCTGTGTAGTTCCTGGGATGTGCCTTAATACATTTTGACTTTGATAGACACCCTTGTTGTTTTGTGTTTGCCTATTGTTGGGTGCAATTTTGTTTTAACCTACGTGTGTGAAACGAGTTTCAGCGATACACTTCAATTTTGCTGGAGTCGTCTTTCCTGGTTGAAGCGTGAGATGTGGCTCTTTATTTTATTTATTTTTGTTGTTTGTTGAGGCTTTTGCAATTATTGTTGGCTGTGGCCCCTGCATTTACTGCCATGGCATTTTGGTAACAAGATTTAGTTGTGGGTCTATTCAATGCTTATCTACCTAGCTTCCTCTGCTGGTTGCAGCCTATAATACCCTCAACTTTTGGTTTTGTATTAGCTGGCATGCTACCCTTCCAGGGAGGCAGTTAACTTTCCTCCAGGGAAGCAAGTTAACTGGGAGAGTAAAAATAGTCTCCTCTGGCTTCTCTTCCTAATCATGTGGGAAGAAAATCTTTAAAAGGTACTGTACCTGCCAAGATGTGATGAATGTCAGAGAGAGAGTGGACATTGAATAACTCTGGTTGAATGACTCAAGAAATGAGCCATGAAATGAGTCAGAAATTGAATGACTCAAGAAAATAAGCAATAATTTCATTGCTCTTTATGTCCAATAGGTATACAGTATAACTAATCAACATGTATTTCAGGTTATGGAGACCACTGACAAAGACGAAGCAGAGGCAGCTTCTGCTGAAGATAAAGATGTGGAGAATGCACTTACACCAAGAATAACAAATTCTCTTGTCATCTCACCTTCAAAATCCGTTACAAGGTCTTCACAAGCTTTGAGTCCTATACGAAAGCCATCAAGAAGCAACAGCCATGGTGACTTCATTAGTCAGAGTAAGAGCCAAGAGTCTTACGGGCAAACGGAAATTGATGGAAATGTGTATGCTGGGAAATTAAATGAAAACCAAGAGTTACGTATTCATTCTGCAGCAGTTGTGAAGAGTTCTGAAGTGAGTCAAATGATCCTCTATATTTATCATTATTTCTCCATTTATGTTTTTTCACTTGCATGTAAACAGACTATTCTAATTTTCTCCAAGTCATTACTATGGTACTAGCACTTAGAAATATTGCTCTGATAGCATTGCTTCTGTCCTTACTTCTGTACAGTACTGTACTGTAATTTTCTTGTACTTTAAGAAATCTTAATATCTAAAATAATTTTTTCTTAGTATAGGCTAATTGGTCAGTCACTTATTCAATATTTCAATTCCCCATAGGACATTTTGCATTCCAAAGCCTCCAAGCACTACACTTTGCTTGTCTGCTGCTTGGCTGGAGCTTGTACTGTTGGTATGGTCTTAAAGTGCTATTAGAAAAGAGTCCTGCTAGTTTAGTTTAGTTCATTTATTATACACCTCATACCCATCTTGTGGGCAGTAGTGGAAAGGGTTACAGAGGCACATAATGGGCTCAGGGACTGAACCCCATTCCTGCTGGGAGATGGAAAGTAGCACTGAACCAAGTTAGTTTGCGGGATGTGGGTGCAATCAATTGATCACCTCGAAAAGGAATAATTCATCTGTACTCGGTGTCTTTATTTTATTAACTAAATTATATATTGGTAAAAATCATCTATTTTATCATTTTTAGGTTGAGTTTCCTGTACAGTTTCATGAACTTCAGTCAAATACAGATCTAAAGATGCCCCCATCAAATTGGCTGCAGGAGCATTCTTCTATTCGGCTACCTAACCCAACACAAAAACACGCAGACTTTTCAAGGTATAGTAGGTGTAATGTTTTATTTAAAGATGCATTAGTGTAGTCATCTTGCAAACAACTCCTCCTCTGCAGATTGAGTTTCCTTATCATTTACTCGTAACTTAATAATTAGGCACTCACTATATTATGCAGACTGTGCTGTTGCTGCATTTCATTTTAGTAGAAACCTGGTTTGACATAAGCTATGTAAATTTAATTAAGAGCTTCCATGTTTAGATTTCTATACCCCATTCTTATGTTTGCCAGTTTTCCATATGCGGCTGATGTTATCCTGTTTGTGTGGTTCTAGTGTTAGTTCTAGAATTATATTCGATTATAAAATATTTTATGAGTTGTGTAGTTGCCTTCTTGTTATAGTTTATTGCTTTTGGTCTGCTGTCTCCTCATATCATCATCATCATCTTTTAACTTGTTGGTATTGAACTCCAGCAACTATTTGTCTGCCTACTTTTGTTAATACTGTTTCACACTAACAGCCTCATTCAAAGAAGGAGTAATTGCTGATCAGTTAGCATGCAAAAATCTTTTACTGCTAAAATCCACACAATAAATCATCTAAATTATTGGGATCACTTAACAATTCTAAATCTATTCCCTTGAATACAGGCAGGAGAGAGAAATAATAATTTACACTTGTAAAATACTGAAAGGGCTGGTTCCAAATCTGCATATAGAAATAACACCACATGCGACCAGAAGACATGACAGGATGTGTAAAATAGTCCCATTAAAAAGTAGGGGTGCAGTAGGTATGCTGAGAGAGAGAGAACTATTATCAACATAATAGGTCCAAAACTTTGCAACACACTCCCTCTACACATAACGGGGCATAACTGGCAGACCTTTCACAGTGTTCAAAAGAGAACTTGATAAACACCTTCAAAGGATACCTGATCAACCAGGCTGCGAGCAGCTGCGTCAAACAGCCTGGTTGACCAGACCCCCCAACCAGGAGGCCTGGTCAGAGACCGAACCTTAGGATGTTGATTCTTGGAATCGTTGAAAAGTAAAGGTAAAGCATTTTTCCGGATTCCGAGAGTTCTGCAGTTTATTGTTTTGCTGTATTTAAAATTCTAATTAGTGAATAACAAAGAATTCCTTACTGCCTCCTTCAGTTGCCATGGTTATACTTGGCCTAATCCTTATGCTTTCAGGTGTCTTTTTACCTTCATTAACCATGGATATAAACATAGCATAAATAAAAAGTTTTAATGCTAAGTTGTAATTATACTTGTAGCTAATGTTTGAGCTTCAGCTTTAAAATTTTGTGGAATCAAATATAAGTATGAATGTGTATGTGTTTTAAATAATTTTATTTGGGACTTTAAATAATACATTGGATATTGGTATTTTCTCTCAGGCTTTAATAAGGAAAAATTACAATAATTATATAAATTTTCATTCTGCAGCTTTCTCATGGCTCATCAGTTCCCAGACTGCATTGGTGAGGTAGATTTAGTATCAGATGCCGAAAACATCAAGAAACTGCTCAAAATCCCATATAATCCAAAAGCTCATGTTAGCATGATGATCCATCGAGTGGGCAAGACTCTCCTCATAGATGAATTTGATGTGTACAAATACTTACTAAGGCAATCTGAAAAGGAGTGGCATTGGCTAAGACGATTCTTTTTTGAACATGTTCTTCAATCTTTAACTCACAAGGTAAGCGTTATGGAGTGATTCTGTGATACTGTAGTACAGTACTTAATTTTCCTCAATCTGTCCTTTGATATAAAATCTGGAAGAAAATTCTTCATTACCTGTATTGATGTCTGGCTAGCAGCAGACCTCTTGATGTGTGATTCCCATGATTACTTGTTTTAATGTCAATGATTTCTTTGCCATTTTGGGATGTAATGATTTTTAAGAAATTCTTATTTTATTGCTGTTACTACATAAGCACCATGTTTTTTAAATAGGAGAATGTACTGGTTCGCCCCAACAAGAGTCGGAATGTTGTTCAGAGTCGAAGTTTACTGTCAAAGTTTCTGTATCACAGTATAAACGATGAAGAGGCTAGACCACCTAGCCCTCCATCTCAGCCAGTAACGGAAAGTCCTGTCTCCATGCGGAGGGTAATTAATTTTCTGTGCTCGGTACATTTCTAATATTTTATCATTATGAATTGATAGTATGGTATTACAGTACTTGTATATGACATTGTTCATGTTTAACATGTAAATAATTTTGATGAAAGATTTAAATTTATTCTGTGAATCATGTTATCATATCATCATTAACATAAATCCTTTCATGTTGCATAATATATTATGGAAATACTTTATCACATTCTAAAGTGAATGTTCATTGTTTTTTGCAAGTTGCATAACAGTAATAATGTTTGTAAACATATATAAAATGTGCTGAAATTGCTACAGTATACATCTGATGATAAATTGTTTACCTGTTAGCCATCACTAGTCATGACTGAAGTGATGCCTGAACCTGCACTTGAGGAACAACTTCCTCAGGCCTCCGCTCAAGCATTTACCCGTAATGTTGTGTGGAATTTTGAAGATCTTCATATGCTGATTGGGACTGATCTACCTATTTTTGGTGGTGGAACTCATCCTTGTGTCTCATTAAGACTTCGTGATATGAGCAAACCCATCAACATACTGACTGGTGAGTGAGTGTCAGGTTGTAAACATTGATATATAATCTAGGACAAAGATCTTACTGCTAAAGTTTATGATGTTAAATACCAAAAATTTGTACCTTCCCAGAGAGTATGTGTATTTTTAATTAATAACCAATTCCCACTATAATTTGGTTCTATGTAAAATAAAAATTATATAAAACTCTGTAAGGACTTTATCATAATGCATTTCTGGCCAGAACACTGACAGGTAGGTAGGTATATACGCAGATTGATGTGTAGGCGGGTATTTAGGAAGGTTTCCTAGAAAATTTGTATCATAACAGAAGATGAGATATGGTAAAATACTAACATAGGTAAACCTTTCAAAGTATGAAAAAGAGTACAAAGGGAGAGTGAGTTAGAGGTGGAAGGAAATGACTTGAGAGACAATATTCTTGGGGCTCTTGGCAAATCAGGAGAAATAGTTTTTAGGGTGATGAGTGTAAGTAAGAGTACAGTACACTGTACATGAATGGTAATTAATCAGGAGAGCCACTGTGACAAGAAAGTATTTCTTTAGTGTTAGAGTAGGAAGCATTTAGTTTGAAGTAGAATGTAGTTGAGGTTAACTGTGTACTAAGTTTGAAAGTAGGCTCAACATAATGAGTATCATGACTGACAAAGAAAGGTACAGTAGAAACTTAAACCAAAGAAAGGCCCAGAAACTTAAGCTTGTTCATGTAAGCATTTAAATTTACACACATTTTCCTTGTTATGTTTGTTTTGGTAGAAAATTTTTAAAAATGTTTAATTTAAAATTTTAGTACAATTGATAGTTCTCTTGAACTGCATTAAACGGTATATTGTACAGTATTACAAAATGTGTTTTATTTACAGAATGCTCTCTCCTTTCTTTCAGGAATTGACTATTGGCTGGATAACCTTATGTGTAATGTACCTGAAGTAGTTATGTGCTACCACTTGGAGGGCATCGTTCAAAAGTACGAATTGATCAAAACTGAGGATCTGCCACACATGTCTGATTGTCAGTTTTCCCCTAGACTAGTTCGAGATGTGGCTCAGAATATTCTTTCATTTCTCAACAGCAAAGCAACAAAAGAAGGCCACACTTACTGGCTCTTTAAAGGTAAATGTATATTATTATTATTATTATTATTATTATTATTTATTATTATTATTATTATTATTATTATTATTATTATTATTATTATTGGTAGTTCGACTAAAATGTACTTTCTGAGCTGCCACATTCTGCTTCTTTAGTGTCCTTGATGTAGGAGCATGTGCCATCAAGCAGTATGAGATACTGTACTGCACTGGCACAATGATGATCTTTTCAGATTGTCCTTACAGAGTCATAATAGGAGCTGTGGAGTCGGTAAAGAGTTTTTTCCACTAAAGAATGATCAGAAAATGACTTATTTCTAAACAAAAAATCTAAGCCCTACATAAACCCTCCTTTAGATCACAATTGACTGCCAGGGAAGCTGTTTGATAATCGCTAGTTTGGCTGTTTGGCAACTTAAGTAGACTGCCACCAGATGATAGCCCGGACACATGCGAGGTTTGCAAGGATGCATGAATTGGTTTGACGGTTCAATATATTCTTACATGCATGAATACATTTCATGTTTCACCACACCGGTCTTCATATTGGGTACATCATTCCCAAAAATACAACTCTTGGGCATTAATATACTATGGAATAAAAAGTAAATGTAAATTCAAATACTTCACAATTAATATTTCTCTGTCCTACAGGCAAGGATGATGACATAGTAAAGCTGTATGATCTGACATCACTATGCACAGAGGGTCGAGTGTGTGTTGATGGAACCGAAGAAGAGATCCAAACAGAAGACTCTGGAAACCCTTTTACTATTCCAGTTGCAATGCTATTTTATCGTGTTGCTAAAAACATGCGTGCCTCAGAAGATGCTCATAATAAAATTGCTTCCATCAGAGCTCTACTTAAAAATTCCATCACATTATTAGACAAGAATGAATATCCAAAGGTGAGCTTCACCCAAAACTGGTTTTGTAAGCCAAATATATTAAAAGAAATTTTTCTGAGCTAAGGCAAGTCAGATTCTCCCACGACACCTAAATGGTCTACCCAGGACTCGTATTACTCGCCTAGCTCTCAACACTTTTATCCACAATGTGATAGGAATCTTTGTAAGTGATTCTGTCATACATCTAAGGAAAGGATACAGTAGTAAGTGTAACTCAAAATGCCACCCAGAATACAAGCATTAATACATGGCTGTAATCCTAACATTATTTGAGTCTTCAACCAGGAAGCAAAGCAACCACTCGCTGTTACTGTTGTAGGGTGGGACACTTGCTTCTGTTCTGGAGTTTTCTTGTTTGGATTTTGGTCCCTCTACTGCTTCATGGTTGTAATATCAAGTCCCTTCCTGTGTGTTTATATTTGTGGTTGTATTGTTTCTAGTGTTGTAATTTGATGTTTCTATTTCTATAATGTTTACTACACTAGGAAGTAATGGGGCTTAGATTCCTGTTTGCCTCAGGTGTTCCTCAAGTAGAATGTTGGTGTGGTCTTCACCTTGTGTGTGTGTGTGTGTGTGTGTGTGTGTGTGTGTGCGTGCCCTGTATTTGGGGTTAATCACCATTTATTCTGCCTGCTGCTGTTGGTATGTCCCTGCGTAAATTGTCTAGATTCCCCAGTTGGGTCCCCAGGGAAAGAGGGTTATCTTTCCTGCTTCCCCAGAAAATTGTTTACTGTTCTTTGGTGTTTTGCTCATGGTCCATTGAAGGATTCACCTAGTTCCCAGGTGTGGCCTTAGTTCTCTACTTGGGTCCCTCAATTTCCTGAGTGTTCTGGATTTTCACAGGGACATCCCCAGGGTCTTCCACATTCGCTTTTGTTCCATTATACTATATGGTAATTCTGCTCTGCATTCCATTCCCATTGTGTCCTTCCTGATGCTCGAGGGTATTTCTTGGCCAAAAGTGATGACTCGGAAGGACTACCAAAGTTGGCTACCTGTGTTCTTGCCATGTTCTGCAGGGTTTAGTTTTCTGTTGGGGTGCTGTCTTCCCTTTCTTCTGCTGTGAAACTGGGTTTGCTGCTTTGTGTGGGGCTTGACCTGGGGCAGTACTTTTGTTTTGTGATCACATTGGCTTTGCTCATATTCCTAGCTCGCCTCCTACATGTAGGGGGTGAAATGCTTTTTCCGTTGTTTAGCACTATTTGATTACTACCCGACTGAAGTATTGTATTAACTTTTGCTGTCAACCTTCGGTTGAAGTTTTTTAAGTCCTTGTATCTGTTTTATAGGTTTCACCATCCCCTTCCTTTCTATTGGGTAGAGTCAGGTGCCCTAAGGCCGACCTCTCCCTTTTTATCGGCTTCTTTCAGTGAAGCTCATGGATCCTCATGATGATGATTCTTAATTATCCCCCCACCCACCCCCAAAGAGGCATGGATTTGCACTTCTGATCCTGTGCACATCCCCAATTTTTGTTGGGCTTTGTTTCCTACTCTGCCTTGTTGTTTGGCTGCCCTTGATGCCCTTTATATACTGGGTATTTGCTCTTTGCTGTTGATATTTTTGGTTGCGGTAGTTTCTGGCAATTTCCAGTTGGTTTGCCCCTTCATTGATGGTGTGTATGAGGCACCCATTTGCATGGGAGTTCTCTTTCATTCATATACGTGTTTGCCTGTGTATGCCAGGTATTGGTTGCATAGGCAATGGGATTTTACCATGGCTTGGTATTTCTTGCTCTGGCTTAACAGTTAATGCATTTGCATGTGCCTTGGGTTTGGTATTGCTTGTGTTTTAATGCTTTTGAACTCGCCTCTCCCGTTAGCCTTTGTGTTAGCATGCATTGGGTAGGAGCATACTAGTCTCTTGGTCTTCATGACCTTGCTCATTTTGTTTGTGGCTTACAGCCTGGGTTTGGGGGATGTGGTTGTCTTGTTCTGGATTGAAGTACTCAAATGAATAAAATGGGTTTATGTAATATTAATAAGGTTCAAAGTACATAAACACAAATTGGGTAGAATGGGGAAACAAAGGATACAAAATAGATACATTTAGATGTGGAAAAGACCTAGGAAAATCCCTCGTTTCGAACTAGGGTTGTTGATTTATGGAACAAAGTGAAGACTTAAGACAAATATGTCTCGTTTGCAATCAAAGTATGCCAATATTATAAGGTCAAAAATCATATCAATTAAAGTTGTAAAATGTATTGTTCATCATTGCATTAATTTTATGCCAGCTTAATTTTGGTTAACTGGGAAATAAAACTGAAACACAAGTCTAAGCAATTGTTTTTACAGTTTCATGTTTATTTTTATATTTATTTGTTGATAATATTGATTTTTCAGATTGTGTCCTCTGCGCATTACATGCTGTCCGACCTGTATGTGCCACAAGACATTGATCCCGACTCCCCGGTTCTCTCTGACTGCAGTGATGAGGACAGTGAATGGTCATCCACTGTAGGAAGTGACGATGAGAATGACGATGATGAAGTTAGTTGTGACCAAAATGAAACCCAGTCAGTCACTCCAGCCAATCCAAGTTCGACTATTAAAGTGTCATCACTGTGCAAGCCTCACACCAGTAAAACACAGTCACATTATTACAAGTAAGTTTAAAATTAAATGATACTCTGAATTGAATATATTACATGCTTTTATTTTAAATCCTGCATATGTTCAATTTTTTCCAAAACAGATATACAGTATAAGCGAGCTGTTAAAACAGGAAAGATTCTCGCCTGGCTTTGGAATAATCTGATGGAATACAGTTCTAAATGTGAAAAATATGCATAAAAAAAAACTATTCTGTAATATTTTAGCATTTCTGTGTGTGTGTGATACAATTCAAACAACTTTCAGAGCACCACCACTGTTAGGCACACTAGAGGAACGATGCCAGTGTGCCTTGAAGCATATTGTTGAAGCTCTCCAGTGTCTGCATGCATCCAGTACCATGGAGCACGAGCACTGTGGAACTAAAAGGAGTAGAGAGTCCACAAGTTCATCAAGGAGTCAGGATCAAGAAGAACCCAAAATGGCTCGACCTTTTCACCCCATCCCAATGCCTTACTCGCCTCTGAATAGTGATACCGATGATGGAAAGAAGGCTTTAGTTGTAGCTAAAGAGCGTCCTGTTGAAGATCACTTAATGGTTTCTGTGTTGTGCCAGCAGTATTCTGTTGCCAGTTGGTTGGATAAACTTACTGTCCTCTTACTCAGAAAAGCATCATTAGTGTACTTAGTGATGGCCAGAACAAATTTCAATGCACAAAGGTAAGTGTTGCATTTCATTATCACTGAAATAGGTCATTAGATTTTTGGTCATATATATTGTACTGTACTTACAATTCTACCTTACTTTCATATCATCATAAACTGTATTAGACATTTCCTTATTAAAGCATTCTGTTTTTTCTCTACAGTATTTCTGAATTAGGCATTTGTCTTTATGATTTAGCCTTGATAAATAGTGCTCATTCTAAATAGGAAGGCAGCCTTCCCAGTGGGGTTGCATTGTGAATTTGATAAGTGATGGTTGCAGCCTTTCATTCATGATAAGTCAAAATGGTGACTCTGCACCAGTGCATTATACAAATTGGTATTATGGCTCCTTTCATCTTCCATATGGAGTTATCCATATTGGAGAAAGGAGGTTCAGAAAACAATTAATTAATGCAGTTGTGTTTCAGCTGTGCACCTACACCGTTCTGTATATTTATCAGGTATGGGCTGGCTCTTCGATGCATTAGATTTTCTCTCCATGCTTGGCATGGAATGGCACGGCGTCTTGGTCTTGAGGAAAGTGAAGTACCTATTCCTTGTCAAGCATTAACTCTGGCTGGTGACATATTCTACATGATATCCAAAGCATGGGAAGAAGTTGCCAGCCATATAGATGACTATAACAGTCTCACTGCAACTCACCAGGATATGCTCACTCTTCTTGAAAGTATTTTACCTGCTCAAGGTCAGTGTTGTTATGAGTAAGTTTGATGTAAATGTTAGCCTCTGAGTGAATTTGTAATAGGCAAAGTTTAGTGATTGTATGTCTAGTTGCATACTTTGTAACATTTTATTCAGTATTTAATTACAAACTATCAATTCATAATCAGCTTTTCAAACCATCAAAATGCACGAAACATTATTTGGGTGGGTCACTGCAAAGCTTTACTCATTGACCTCTTTAAATACAGTACTGCTTTGTACCCCCATGGGAGTTAGATCTATCCCTTCTTTCTTTTTTGTCCTTTCTGTATTCTTATCTTAGGACCAACCGAATGGGTTGTCTAAGAATTAAGACTGAGTGAATATGAAAAACACTTTTCTGAGAAGAAATATTTAGATGCCTCTGGTTTCTTCCTTTCTGAGTTTTTGAGGTGTGAATGGTGATACCTGCTGTTGGTGGTATGTGTAGGTAGCTAGATAGGCAAACAAGCAATTAGAATCCTCTGTTTGTGGTTGCTTGTGATGCCAAGATGTTTGATTAATTCATCTGTTGGCCATTCTGGTTTCAAGTGATCTACATTGACCCCTAGTAGCTAATATGAGACTACAGGGATGCCTTAATATTCCTTGTGGCTCTGGTGCCAGTATGTCGCCCTTCATTACTTGTTTCATGCTCCTGGACAACAGTACTATTATAGACAGTAGATTTTGCCGTAGGAAATAACTAAATGAATATGCTCAGAAAGGTGATTTTATTATTCACTCGAAGCCTTAATTTTATGTTGAGATGACTGGTGTTTGTTGATAAAAATTTGACAAAACTCTATAGCAGAAAATGCTTTTTCTTGGCAGAGTGTAGCTGGACTATCAAATTGCCATGTGATGTGGAAGAGGCTCTGGCATTAAGTTGTGTGAGCTTTGAAAAAGCCTTCACTGCTGCAGACCCTCAAGCTGCAATGCTTCTTTCCCGCAGGCTGGGTAATGTTTGTAATGAATTAGGCGTTATGTACATGAACCAAGCATCTAGTAAGTATATTTTGTATTTTCAGCTAAAAAAAATTATAGGCATACTAGAGGCACACTTATCCTTTACTGAACACAATGGTGTGTATAGGCATTATACAGCAACAATAAAGTCTTTACCTCATTATCCTTCAAAGATTAGTTTGGAATCCCTGTTCCTCTTTGCTTAATTATGAAACCAGCCCTCAAAAATAGAATATGTTACTCAATCATTGTGTGAATTACAGTAGCATAGAGGTAGTATGTGTGTTAACAGCTTTTCAAGACTGTGTGTTTTGCAACATAACCAGCAATTTGTTTTGTGCCCACCTTGACAATTTGTTCGAGTTTATTAATGTGGTCTTTTTCTCTTTATTAGAACTGTGCGAAGAAAAAGATATTGGCTTCCAAGGTACAGAGGAACTTTGGCAAAGGAGTGCACAAGTTTTGAACCGAGGCATTGAGAATTTTGCTCGAGTGAATGATTTGGCAAATATAGCCCTCTTGCATTCTAATACAGGCCGTTTACTAAGACTTTGTGCCTTCTATTCTGTGCCCAAAGATGGTCCAAGGCAGTTTATAAATCCTGAGAGGTATTATTATGATGAGGTAAATTTTGTTGATACTGTACTATATATTTCATAGGTAAATAAAGTTTAAAATTTAATTGTTGCACTTTCAAGAAATTTATATACTGTAAATTAATTTATCTTGTATTAAACCTCAGTCCTTGCTATGCTTTTCCAACATTCCTGAGAAGTTTGTCCCCCTTTTGTAGTAAGGAAATGGTAATAATGTCTATGTTGCTTTTAATTTTCAACTTATTTAATAAAATTTAAATGGTTCTGCAGTCATAAGTTATGGACTAAGGATCAAATTTCAATTCATCTTTCTTCTTTTAAGTGATAGGTTAAGAACAGAATGGCTCATTCTGTACTCCAATGAGCAAACCTGGTGTCTCATTTATTATTACCCTATTTCATAATATAGGTGTATCCTGAAGTGCACATACAATAATATGAAATATCACTGAATAATGTAAGAGTGACGTTTCTCTGATTTTCTCTGAAATTTCGGTAATTTCCTATGATTTTCTGATTCTGCCATACAATGCGCGTGTGTATTCGGTAAACAAATGCATCTATAAATTTGGCACTAGCTAGGCACACCTTTGTTATACAGTGGTGCAATCACTGCTCATTCCTTAACATTATGAACTACTATTTCCTTCTGGCAAATTCTACACCATTCCTTTTTTCTCCACATCGTTAAATCGACTACAAATCCCTCGTTAACACCTCTGCAGCTTTTCCTGCAATACAGGAATAAGTTTTTAAGACTTCATCAGTGTGTGTCATTCTTGGCAAAATTGTTATTAAAATATTTGTAAGTGTTAAAAGCAAATAATTGTGCAATTAATAATTTTACATCATATAATGGTACTGTAGTGGAAATGTTTGGAATATAAAGTTAACTTTGTACATTATTATTGTATAAGGTTCTATAGGTTCTATACCGTTTACTGTATATTTTATATTCAATTTTTACTAATATTTAGTGTAATTTTTTAAAGATAATTTTTTTATGTATCTGTTTTATAGGCAATAAAAGAATATCAGAAAGCATTAGAGGTGTTGAAATCTAGGAAAAAGAGCACAGAGATATGGGATCTGGTTGTATGGGAATATGGTACAACCCTCTACACTATGGCTTCATTGCTACAGGATCATCCACCACTTGTTACAACGGTCAGTCTTACTATATTTTATTGAACTAACTTACTGTACTTGGAGGTACATAATGATTCATAATTTCAGTTCACTTCATCAGTTATTCTTGGTATGTATTCACAAATTTGTTAATTTAGGTGAGCAGTAAGATATAAGAGTGAAGGTGAGGACTAGTTTCTCAAATTAATTATATTGTCAAAGCAAATGTTTAAAATAAAATAAGGTGTTATTAATCCCTTTCAATTATATTAAACTGGGTCAACATTGAGGAATGACTCCACAGACACTCCTGTGGTAATGTATTGTATCTCTGTGCCGAAGTAAGACAACCACTTAAAGGAGCAACCGAGTTCCTTACACAGAACACAGCTCTTCATCTAAATTGAAATCATTACTTCATATTAAACAAAAAGTTATATCTAAATATTAATCATTTTGACTGAATTAAAGTTGAATTTATTTGCCAATTTTGTTATGCCCAGTAACTTGAACCAAATAGCACCTCTGAATTAGTTTTTTTTATATTTGTAACTTTCCTATTATACAAAGTATTACATTAAAGGATTATTGAAGATGGTGTTATTCCACAGGTGGGAGAAGATATTGGACGTGAAGTTTTGGATCTGCTCACAAAAGCTCTTAAGTACTGCGATGTGAAAACCCCTGGAGTTCGGCAACCACTTTATCAATACAGAGCTGCCGTTATATATATGCGATTGGCAGGCATATATCACAATGCTGTCAGGTAAGGAAGAGTTTGTTCCATCCTTCTTTAAATCAGTTAGATAATACCATATATGATGTTTATTTTAACCCTTAAATTGCTCCCATTGCTATCTGTGATTACCTCTTGTTGTTGAATTGTCAAATGCAATTTGTTTTCACTAGTCTTGTGAACTATTTTTGTCCTCACCATGATGTAGGACTTTTAATTAGCCAAGTTGACTGAGGTTAAATTTCCATGCTCAAAAAAATAATTAACCCTTGTAATGCCATGTTTGCAAATGATGCTTTAGATTTTACCTGACAATACCACAGACTGATTATTTATAAATATTGTAGGGAGGCAGGTATGGCTGGGTGAGGTAGGGTGGCAGGAGGCTGCCACTTGTAAGCTGCCCATTCCTTAAAACGTACAATAAAAAGTCATAATATAATACAGTACAGTATACACATTTTTTATGCTTCTCACTATAATAACCTTCTACAGTATTTCTACCATACTTATATAGATATTGGTTATATAAGTTTTGCAATTTGGTTTTCAAATTTGGTAAAATAGGATAGACAGGTTTTTTTTGGCAAGAAAATTATGAAAATATTCAACAACATTTTGGGATTTTGTACACAGCTGCCACCAACACACTGGTAAAAAATAAAAATACTGTATACTATTATTTGTTGGTCTTGGTATTAGTAAATCATATGTTTATTATTTTATGCTGAAATAGTTTGGATGGCTTGATGTAACCGAGTGAGGGAGACAAAAGTGGTCGAGAAGCCACTTTTGTCTCCCTCGCTCATTACTATACCTTGAGGTTACCTTAGGTGCTTCCGGGGCTTAGTGTCCCTGCGGCCCGGTCATCGACCAGGCCTCCTGGTCCTCCTGGATCATTACAACAGTATTATTGCCAGTGCCACAGTCCTCAGTTTCCTATAATACAAATTTTACCATAATATTTTGTCGTAATTATTTTTCAACATAGAATCGGTGCTAAATAACAATTTGTAGGATTGGTGGCTTCCTGTATGTACAGTACTTGTATAGCCCATTGTGTTACTAAAAAATAAGTTAATTGGCCAATATGCAAAAGTTACAGCAGAGAAATTTTGAGAATTTATTTCTTGAGTCTATTTTTCTTCAATTCATTGTATGTGTGGTATATATCATGGTTACTGCCCATAAAGTGTTATAACCTCAATTTATATTTCAGACAAGGCAACGGTGACATGAAAAATATTAGACACTTGGCAGAACTGAATTATAGTAAAGCAGCGGCTCTATTCATGCAGTTAGAGAATCCCATTGATATACTGAAAGTACAGTTGGATCAAACAGTGCTGATAGAAGATCAATTACAAGGTATTTATTTATTATCTGAAACATTACAATTATTAAATAATTATCTTGACCAATAGATTTTGTTTTTAAATTTGGTAATAATTTTGTGACTGGGGGAATTGTGACAAAAAGGTTAAGTTTTCAGTTTAGAACCATGTAATTATCAGTTTCTGGTTGTCATTTTTCTCGTTTGCTTTATTCCAGTGTATGTTTTTATCTATTAGATCATCTCTAAATTAGTACAGTATTTGTCTTTGTGATAGTCATTGGGGCTGCCCCCTATAATAATGGCTGCTGTATTCTCTTAACCCTCAACATGCTCTCATCACTTGTTGCTCACCTGGGCCACTGTAGTTGTCATCGATTGACAATTTACAGTTATTGTTGTCTTCTTTTATATGTCAATGATGTTAATATGGTTATAATAACTAGAAGTACTGTATAATGATATAATGGAGTTAACTAAGACCCATGAACAAATTATTTCATTTTAAAATTGATTACTATGCTCTTAGGTTGTGTATTAAAGGTCTGCAGTTATCGCCAATAACAATTTGGTTCTCGCCAGTGTTTCAGTTCATGCCTGGACGACATTGCCAGAGAAAATTATTGGAAAGGACTGGGTTGCAAGACACTTGCCTTAAGCTGTGCTAGGACAATATTTACATGTAATAGGTGGACATACTGCATTATGTAAACCTATACTGCACACAGTATTCAGTCATTGTTCCTGTCAAACTAGTAACTGAAACAATAAATATTAAAGTGATATCTAAGGGGAACATATGAGTACTCATTGCTGCACTGATATCAGCAACTCTCATGTGCTGTGTGTATTGACACCATGACCTCACCGCCCAGCTTCCTTCTGCAGCTCTCAAAAGCAGAAAAACGGATTGTGTATTTTTGTATAATTTTCCTTATACGTTGTTTGCAAATGTGTCATCCAATAAGAACAAATTTTTTGTTTTGTGCACAGACAAGGTGATAATGTTGAGGTTAACAAGGATTGAATCAATCATTCTCATGACATTCTCAGAGCCAGTGCCACAATGAGCTTTTAAAGTGGCTTTTGCAGGGTCAATAAAGGTGCTACTGGATCACTGTAGATATGGCTGTAGTGGCCAACAGGTGCATTCCATAAAACCTTCAAGCTTTCTACACAATCTCCCTTGTGATCATAATTGACAGTCAAACTAGGTGTCGACCTAAATGCTTGCAACCGGCTCTTGAAACTAGTACACTCGACCACCACCATAAAAAGACCTTGTGATTATGCACCGGCATAATCACAAGGTCTCACTAACCATTTGTGTACCAACAAAATCTCACCAGTACCCTGTGGCATTGTAGCCATGTCACATGTTTTATGTGGCCTAAACTTACCTTAGGTCAGCTAAGTGAAAATAGCTCAGGTAATAGACTTTGTACTTGTATGAAAAATGCATTTCTATTCCCATGGTTCTTTGATAGGAATAATATGAAAGTGCTTAGTGAAGTGGACTGCAATGTGGTTCAGGTGCTGCTATCTGGTGGAGGTAGGGACAGGCAGTGAATTAACCAGCCAGAAATTTGCAAAGACACTCCTTGGCAATCTCGGAGTTGTTAAGTATGTTCCAACATTAAAGCGGGCTTGAATAGTACTTTTGTGTGTGCTATAATTTGAGCTTTCCATAGCTTACTTTAGCTGGATGACAGCCTCCAAAGTCACCAATACCAGTAGCACCTGGGTGGGGACATATGAAAAATTTTCACATGACATTGGTACCTCAATTGTAAACTGCCCTGGCTTCATGATTCACTCCCCTTAGATTCAGAATCTAACCTTAGAGAGCATTTTAGTAAGTCTGCTCAGAGACATGCACTTCACAACAGGTTCATATACTCAGAACCTGTTGTGTAATTATGTATATAAATTATGATTGTTTTAACTTTTTTCAGGAATATCAAATCAACAAATCCTCGTCAAACTCCATTTGTTCATTCTTCAACTACTGGTAGACTGTATTCCAGCTCTAAAGCTCAGTGAGGCCTCTGCTAAAGTCAGCCAAACCAACACTCATAATATTCAGCACATAAGCCCTTGCAGTAACAATCAGAATACACAAATGGAAGATACCAACATGGATGATGGAAGACAACATAAAGAGAACAACAATACAGAAGAAATCAGCTGCCAAACTGAAACCCTTACATATGAGGATGAGGATAGTCAAGAAAAAATAAGGGCTCTGTTAGTTTTGTTTGAGAAAAAGCTTCAAAATTCCATCATGGCCCTTATAAAGATAAATTCTTCAAAATCAAGAAAAAGGTAAGTGTAAATAGTTTTAACACAGATTAACATAGTGATCCCTGTATTATAGCACTTGCAGTTATAAGTGTTCTTTATGTCAGTATAATATAATTTCACTCGATTGATTGATTGATTTTTAAGATATACAGTAAGAAAATTTGGCAATAAACTACAGCAGCTCATTCTCACAAATGCAAATACTGTTTGAACAAATATAACTGCAAATTTGCTTACTTTAAGCAAAACCTTCTAACTTAACTAAGTTTATGGTCTTTGGTCCAGTTGGTCAAGAACAATTGGAAATTTGGTTGTCAAGTTCTTTTTCTATCCTTGGTTTCCTATCCTATCCTATTTTGTTGGAATGAAGCTAACAGAATTGAGTAAATACATACAAAATTCTGAGTTATGGGAGCACTACAAGCACTTGCCTTACTGGGAGAGTAGTATAGTTAAGTATTAATTTAGTGTTATGTTTGTACCCTGGGTTATCTTGAGATGATTTCGGGTCTTTAGTGTCCCCGCGGCCCGGTCCTCGACCAGGCCTCCACCCCCAGGAAGCAGCCCGTGACAGCTGACTAACACTCGGGTACCTATTTACTGCTAGGTAACAGGGGCATAGGGTGAAAGAAACTCTGCCCATTGTTTCTCGCTGGCGCCTGGGATCGAACCCAGGACCACAGGATCACAAGTCCAGCGTGCTGTCCGCTCGACCGACCGGCTTTTGGGTGTTAAAACACCCAAACTATCCATCCATCATGCAAAAGAACAATTGTATTCTCTTCAGTAACATGCATCATAATGACACGTTAATACAGGGAATAACAGTATTGTAGAATATATTTGTTAGATTACATAAATGACAAATACAGTATTTTTTGTTTAACCGTTTGTGCTTAGGTGAGCAAACACCCAAGGGTGTTAACTAAGGGCACATGGTTAATAAAAAGTGCACAGTTAGGTAATTACAAACATATGTGGAAAGAAATTTAAAGAACGCATGACAGGAACGAGATCTAGGGGTTGTTTTGGATAGTAAACTGTTACCAGATGAACACATAAAAGAACATTATTTGAGGAGTATATGTGCTGCTTTGCCACTTCAGAATCACTCTCAATTACTTGGATGATGGAATACTAAAGAAACTGTTTGACTTTGGTGAGACTAAAATTGGAATATGCAGCAGTTATATTCCAAATAACCCATATCTCAAGAAGCAAATCAATAAACTGGGAAAGGTGTAAAGGGATGCTACAAAATGACTTTCAGAACTGAAAAACAAGAGTTAAAGAAGGGCTAGAGGCGTTAAATATGCCAAAGCTAGAAAATAGAAGAAAAAGAGGTGATATGATCACTTACAAAATTATGACAGGAATTTACCAAATTGACAAAGAGGAATTCCTGAAACCATCAACATCAAGAACAAGAGGTTACCGATACAAGCTGAGGAAACAAACATGTCAAAAAAATATTAGGCAGTTTTCCTTTGCAAACAGAGTGGTAGACAGTTGAAACACGTTAAGTGAGAAGGTGGTGGGGGCCAAAACCACTGCTAGTGGTTTGCTAGTAGTTGCAAAGCATTATATGACAGAGTGCTGGGGAGACAGACACCACAAGCATAGCTCTCATCCTGTAACTACTGTACAATTAGGTAATTACAAGCTCATCCTGACTAACCTTCAACAACACTGAATTAAACGAATAATTAAGTTTTACACAATCTTTCTTTTGTCTTGCCCACAATAAATCAATCATTGGTGCAGAATTTGGTGTCAAGCTTGGTGTCAACAGACACACAAGCTAAAGATTAAGATCTGAGCACCAAAAGTCAATCCCGGTAAACATATCAGCAGAAAATTTATTTAATATATGTATTCATAGTTCTGACAATCAGATAGGATGGAGCAGTCACTGACAAATAATATATATATATATACACAATCGCCATTGCGATCACAAATGTAAAATGATTATAAAGAATTTGATATCCACAAGCATGGGTAGGCACGAGAGTGAGGCAAGGTGGGAGGCAGCTCAAGTGGGAATCAAACCAAAAATAAGTTTGCTTGTTTTCATATGTCTTTGGACACATTATTTTGTTCTCCTGTTATCTTGAGGCTGATCAGTTTGTTCAGTGCTGGCTGTGCACAATAATGGCTTCACAGTTTTAGACTCCATACACAGTTTCAAATGTGTAATAGGCTCGGGAATCTGTAAATCACCAGTTGATCGACAGTTAAAAGGCGGGACCAATGAGCTGAAGTTCAACCCCCGCAAGCGCAACTAGGTGAATACAGTTTTGAGTTCATACTACTACATTCACAGTTGTCTGGTGTGAAGTATGCATCTAAGGCTGCATGTTTTTTTGTTGTCCCCTAAATATGAACAGCTGGTTCCTCACTGTGTTTAGCCATTGCATTGTGCTTTGGCAAGTGGCCTGTAAACCTTCAGTCAGGGAATGAGTGACCTGATGTTTCTCTGCCTGTGTTATTGGCCATTATAACACTACACTATGAAGATTTGGATGACAATGCATGTTGTACCATGTGTGGATTCTGTATAATTTTCAACTTCAGTGACCATTCCTTGTACCACCAGCAGTTTCATCTTTGGGCTCCATCTTATTTTGATCTCCATATGTATGATGTATAGTATGTTTTGTTTGAATGGATGCTGTATTCAAACTTTCATCTTGGTAATTGGCTTATGAATTACCTGCCAGGCTAAGAGCTCATGGGCTGAAATATCTGCCGGGATGATTACAATTTCATGTTTTTTTTGGCTGATCTTGTGGCTTCTACTTAACTAGTCAAAAGTTTCAGGTTTGGAAGAACATGGCTAGTTGCGCATTTGCTTTAGGTGCTTTGCCTCTCATTTTATCTGCAATGTGCCCTCATTCCCATGCTCCAACACTTGTGGGACCCGAGAGTCTTCAGTCTGTGTTCTTATGTATAAATATAAGATATAGTTCAGCCTGCTCTAATATAATAGATCAAAATTTTGATTAGCAATAATAAAATAGAAGTGGGAGAGCAATGCTGGAAATGGATCTTATTTTAGAGGTGCATGTAAAATTGAAAACATGAATACATAAGGAAATTACAATAACATGGTATATCTGAGAACAATTTTGGAGCAGGCCCACTTCTGGGAGTACCCAGGATGCTGGTTCAATCCTCGTCCTGCTCCAAAGATTTTCTCATTGAAAATGTGGACAATGACAAGTGAGTGATAGTGTGAAAGTATACATAGAACTTACAAGATAAAATAGTTTAAAAATATAAATAATTTATTACATCGATTAAGAATCTGAACATGCGATTGTTTAATGAAGACAGTAAGTACTGTAGATGTATTCATTTTGTAAATTATAAGTCATAGGAGAAACCAAAAAGAAAATGAAATGCATGAATATGTAGGTGAGTGGGGTGATTGGTTTTCCCCCATTGGATTATCAGAGTTCATGATGAGGGTGTACTGACATGTTGGAACACAAAAATAAATTAAATCTTAATTTTAGAGTACAGTACTAATAATTGAGTTATGCATTAGGTTATCCAGTGATTCTTAAGTGATTTTTGAAGTGAAAACCTGCTCTAGCATAAGAAAAGACATGAACATTACTGTATAAGAGTTAAGTATCTTATATGCATTCTTTGTGTCCATCAACAGCAGTCATCTTGGGAATGATATAAGTCTTCTGAAAGAGATGTACAGTTTGAGCCTCAACATCCAATCCTTACCACTGGCCACACACCTGCTCACTGCCACGACAGGCATCTCTCCGTTACTCAACCAGATACGCATCCGAAGATGATATCTTTGATATACTGTACTTCTACTGCCCATTGGTGTTGAAAAGATATACAGTATATATTTTGGAGTTGGAACTGCAGTAGTGCATACATACTAGTTTAATTATATTTTGATAGATTTAAAGGGTTCTGCAACTCAGACAAAAATAAACTACAGTATGTATGTAAAAGTGTATATATACCCAGTTTGATCAACTTAGGACATGAAATATATAATACTACATACAAATTAAATATGTACTACGCATAAATGTTTCTTCTAGATTTATTTCCAACTTAGAATCATAAATTATTTTTCAGAGGGCAAAGTTAAGTTCACCTGTGAACTTTTTCCAATTTTAATTATTGGATCAGGTTGGTCGTTTATTCAATAAGTTTTATCAATCACCCAAACCAAAAGGTTTCTCGAGTTTTATCAATGCCTTAGTTTATAATATTAATTTTGTAAATAAAAGAAAATCACTATCTTGGAAAAACACTTGTAATGTTTATAAAAGAATTAAAAAAAAAAATAGCAAAATATATGGAGATACAGCAAATATGCTAATGAGTATTGTATAGAAATGAGGAATTAGCTTTCTTGTTACCTTGAAAATTAAAGTTTTAAAAGTTATAAATGACAGCATTGCCCTGTTGAAAACTAAGGAAAGTACTGTACTGTGATATCGGTAATGGACTCCTATATGTCAACTACTCGTTGAAGATTTCGTGGATCAATGTCCCCACGTGAATGTCATCAAGGGTGAAAAATTCTGTTTAAGTTGAATACTGGATAGAACCCAATGCAATGTGATAGTTATTTTTCTTCAAGTCTATTTACTTAGTTTTCTCCTATTAATTAATTACTTTACATAATTTTCTAAAGCCTGTTTATTTTGCTAGCATCTGAATATCATTGCTTAATTAAAATAAATTCCTCTACATTTGTGATAGTAAAAGAGATTGATCTATCACAATGACTGAAAGGTACGATGAGAATGGAAATATTTTTACAAAATAAAATGAAGGAACACAGGGAAGTGACAAAAAGTTGGAAATTTGCTACCATTATATTTTTGTATTTAATGACAAAACTTAAAAAGAAAAATATAGGATAGTGAGTCATTTATTTCAAGTAATTTCCAGAAAATGAGTGCTTGGCAGAAATTAGTCTCATAACTATCAATGATCATAAAGACTTTATTAAATAATTGTTTATAATACCATATATTAATTTACCACGGAATTAAGGATAAGAGTTATTGAATTAAAAATGTGTGATTGTGAGGTGTACACAACCTTTAAAGAGAAGTCATAGGACATAGTGAATGTAGAGGCATGACTTTGAGAGCAGCGAGTGTGACTGAAGTTGTGTGAATTCTCTTATATGCAGGAAATACTTTATCAAGCTATCACTTTTGGTTGTCCTATACATTAAGATCTGTTATGTAACAGGATTGAGAACGTTCAGGTGAGATGACATTTCATAAAAGGTGTTGAAGAATACGGAAAGTCGTGCCTTAGAAAACTTTAATATAAAACATACATTTCACATATTAAAGAAATATATGATCTCATAAAGTTGTTAAAACAATTTTTTTTTATTTAAAATCTAAATTACTAAATATCAGTAGTTAGGAATGTTTGATACAAATCAAACGTTTGTCCTTTGTTCTGTACATATACAGCTAGTCAGTGGTGTCAGCTCAAGTGGCATTAGTTTGTCAGATTCAATCCCAGTTGACCTATAAGTTGCCAATGGTGCTGAACATGCCATGACTATTTTGCGGACTGCTCATAGTCGTTTTATTTACGGTATTTATTTTTACTTCCTCTTGCCCATGTATCTGACAGTTCAGTATGCTCCCAATCCTGTCTATTTTTCAGATTATCTTGATTTTCATGCAGTCTCAAGTTATTTAGGAAATATTGCTCCATAATTTGAAGAGGTGATGTCGAGGCTAGTAATTGTCTTGTGTGGCCTCGAGGCTGTGTCTGAGGTTGTGAAGTGGCATTTGGCTTCTACACAATGTTGATCTTGAACTTAAAGCACATTATGGTGTTGTCGGTGTCCTTGTCGCTCAGTGTCCACACAACAGGGTACTCATCCTGCCAATACACATACACATCATTAGGAAGGCCACACAGCAGTGATAGAGGCATAGGTTATGAAAGAGGGAGAAGTTTTGAAAAATATAATGACACAGTGAAGGTCAATTATTTCTACAAGACCCTTTTTGATCCTGTATCTTGCTAACAGAAAGCTTTCTATACCAAATTCTCTACATTGATTCAAGGCTAAAAATAAATTCCCGTTATTTTAAGCCTTAATTTTTTTTATTCTTAAAAACATTTAAAGTTTAATGAATATAATTCAACATATGAAAGTGAAGTATTGAGTTCTACACTGTTCACTATACTGGTAAATGCATTAAAATGCATTAAAATCATTTTCAACAATGCTCAGAAATATTACTATTAGCTATGTAGATAACCATGTACACTTAACTTGCCTCTCATGATAGTTCTTTGTTAAATTGCTTATACACCGACTAAATGTCTTTGGCCTTTAATCTCCACAGAAAAGATGCAAATGAGCAAATTCATCATTTTGAAAGTGCACTATAAAAAATGATGATTATTAACATTGTAAAAACAGGCTAAAAGTTTGTAGAACTATAGTGGGGTTATATTTGTTATATTTAGCCTATTAAAGGGCTTTGATTATCATGTACCATCTTTTGGTCCTGTATAAATAGCATTGAAACAGTGGAAAGAATGCAAAACAAAATCCTAAGAATTATACTTTTCTGTTCAGTGAAAACTCATATTTTCATTACCATAGGTACACAGGTTCTTAAAGGAAGAATCTCAAACTTAACGTTAAGAATGCATTCAATGGAACAAGTAATTTTAGGTAAATTAAAGAACATTCACCAATTTCAAATTTTTGCAAAAGACATTTCAATCTCAGATGAATATGAAAAATGCAATCTCATAAAGTATTTTGCATTATGGTGAGGAAGCTCTCGTATGATGCCCTGGGGTTGGTCAGGGTTACCTCGGACCCCTGTCCTGCCCCACTCCAGGCATTGTAGGTGCAAAAAAACTGGCTGAGTATTTTGATGTGTCACTGGTTTGGTGCCTTCTTTAGATAATTAGTTACTTTGATGTGTCATGATGACCTTAGCCATCCTGATGAGTTACACATGCACAAGCACCTTGTTAACTCATGTGGATACGCATCATTAAGGCCCCCTTCTAAGGAGGCAGAAGTGGTCCCTATACTATCCACACTCCACCTTGTGCCATGCTTTGACAACTGCTCCTCAGGAGGGGCCCCTGTTCCTTCTTACCATCACCTCTTTCTGTAAAGGTGGCTCTTTTTGCAAGATTCTCTCGATCCATGTTTGCAACATCTCTCCTTGTGTTCCTACCGTGCCCTCATGGAGAGTCCTGCTTGTGAAATTTTGTATGCCTCTTGACCCACATGGTTACTTACAGGAAGGCTGTAAGCCCTCCTATTATAAAACCCCTTTTTCCTTTTCAATATTTTTCCTCTCACATTACATTCATTGCTCTAGGTCCAAGTCTGTCGACGGTATTGGCTACATTATTTTTTTCCTAATTAACCTGTATATGCCGCCTGCCCTTGGAGATTAGCATCATGATGGCAGAACTTTATGCAATTTTGCGCCCTGGAGAGGCCACTCAGACCGACAACCAGAGCGCAACCCCCATAGTCTCCTGAGACTGATAGATGCCTACTACTACTACTATGATTTTTGTTAGCTGCTATTTTGGAGTCAATGTTACTTTGTCATTGTGGTTGAGAGTTATAGTGCCCTTGTGGGTCTGGAGTCTTTTAACCCTTTGCATCTGGTGGTGGTCGAAATCCAATACTGGTTGTATTACTCTTAGCAGATTTCAGATGGTCGAATTTTGCTCATTCGTTTTCTAAAAATTAAATTGTGGACCAATAGGCTCTAAAACCTAGACCAGAATAAAATTAATGTCACACCTTGTACATTCAATAAAAAAAAGCTCTTGTTTCTGTTAGGTTGGGTTGGGTTAGGCTTATATATAGAGTACTGATGACGTAGTGAAAATTATATCAGGTCTTAGATGATAGAACTGAATCTACTTCATCCCTCTTTTTCTTTCCTTTTTTCTACCACTTACAATCTCCCTCAGTGTGTATCCTTACCCTAGGCCAGAAATCTTGGATGTCGAGGATGTAGGTAAATCGAGTAACATGCCCGGCGACGACTGGACAGTCTATATTGCCGTTACAGGCATCCCGCTTCTGGCCAGGAAGCGGCACCTCGAACCAAGAATTCCAGCGAACGTAGGAGTCCACATCAGTTGCGTTGATATCTGTCAGGGCCCAACATGCACATTAGTGACATGTCCAGTAGTGGGGAAATAGAGAACACATTGTAATATCTTTCGTTTATAAATTATTAACTACATACGAGTCTATAATGGTTTACCAACGCCTGTGTAATCGGGATATATATACAGTTAATGTGATAGCTGATATACGTTCAACCATATCCTTCAATAAATGTTTTTCTCATTCCTCACTGACGTTAGGGCTATCTCCAGTGCTGTTGACATGGCTTATCTCCAGCACTGTTGACAATTATCACCAGCGCTGTTGACAATTATCACCAGCGCTGTTGACAATTATCACCAGCACTCTTGACAAGGTTTACACCAGTACTGTTGATAGTGTTTATCACCAGCAATGTTGTCACACATAATAGCAACCACCACTTTTATTATGCTTATCACCAACCCTCGATTGGGTTTATCAGAAATTTAAAAAGCATATAAATGTTTGCATTTTAGTTAAGAGGGAACTGTAGGAATCTATACCGTATATGTGACCTGGCAAATTCGCTGGATCCCCGTATGGGTAATTAATTAAGATACACCAATAATACGAGGTAGAGAGAAACAATTATATCAAACTAAATAGAGCAGTACTATATAAAGAGCTGAGAACTTGCATAATTAAGGGAGCGGTTAGACAGAACCTCGAGCTTTCAGCAAAGTGTTACCAGGTCATGCTGATGACTGATACTGGAATGTTTGACCAGACCACACACTAGAAGGTGAAGGGACGACGACGTTTCGGTCCGTCCTGGACCATTTTCAAGTCAATCGACTTGAGAATGGTCGAGGATGGACCGAAACGTCGTCGTCCCTTCACCTTCTAGTGTGTGGTCCGGTCAACTTACGTTAGCCACGTTATTGTGACTCTTCGCCTGCACTGGAAAGCTTCGTCAGGTATTTACTCAGAAGGTCATCTGGCAATCATTTATAGTATTGTTTGTGGTGGTTTTGCAAGATATAAAATTTATCTACTTGAAATTATTAACACTACATAAATTATCTGCACAGGAATCATCCTTGTGCTGAAAGAAGGCCACATAGGATCCTAATATACAAACAAGCGGCCTCGGAAGGATAACAATGAGATGATTGTGACTCACCGGGTATAAAGATGGCCCTCAGGTTGTGCGTATTACCGACCCTCACCTCACACACACCCCGCCGGTTGGCACATGTCATGAACACGGCCCTCGGCATCTTCTCCTCTGACACAAAACATCAGAATCAATTATTTAGCCTTATAACCTATATAGGTACTGTATTACATATATAAATAAGGCAAAAATAACCCTAGAAATCACCGGAATGAGTAGTGAATACCGTAGTTAAAATCTTGCAATATATTCATGCACCGTAGAAAGTACAAAATAATCATACAAGTATGAGGGGGTAGCGTACCAGAGGAGCAGCGAGCGAACATGATGCGTCGGGGTTGGAAGGCCATAGAGAGTGTGGCCATCACCACCACCAACACTGCCAGCCACACCTTCATCCTCACTCAGCCACTGACACAACCCTGCAGGGGTCAAGCACAAGTCTTACAAATAAAGCTGTATGTGAATACTTTAGGTTTTTAAAGTAAAGTGGAAGAAAATCATAAGGTGACAAATTCAAGGCATTAGAAATCTCTCAATAATTAAGAAAGCTGAATTTACATTCTTTAGAAAGGGGAAGAGAAGTGGACACACGATTAAAGTATATAATAATTATATTGGGGACACATTATGTAACGGTGCTAGATATATCAACACGAAACTCAAGTCTAAGATTCAGAACACGACTTGGGTAAATACTGGATTTGGGGTAGGGTTTTAGCTCTATGGTTTTCCTGCGTTAGATTTATCAAGATCCCACTAAGGCTAGGCCTAGCAACTCACAACAGTTGTTAGTATATTATTATATTAGTATTATTATATAATTACAGTCATTGATCTTGTGTGTGACACTTTGTCTACATACATTACATTTCATGTAATTCAATTATACAAACTCGGTAAACTACCAAATATAGTAGTATCCAAGTCATATTTGAGCTGCAGAACCACTTAGCTTTAGATCAAGAACAAAACTGGAAGAATATCAGAAATATATGTTAGTCTTCCAAACTAGTCCCAGAGCTGAATGGTAAGGTCAGTTACGAGGAAGGAATAAAGGAGTTAAATTCAACGTTACTAGAAGAGAAGAAACAAGAGACATAATCACCCCATACATATTTATCACAGTGCAGATAATGACATACCACATAGCATGGGTGGTAAACGAACAAGAAGACATAGATGTAAAGTTTCCAAATAAACCACAAATTAAGGAAACTCTGTCTCACAGCCCAAGAGGAGACACATAGACGGTATATGATCTCTACATACAAAATACCGTAGGGAGATATACAAGATAGATAGAACAGCGTCTTTAAATTTAAAAGGAAAATTGCAAGAGGATATTAGTGAAAGTTGGAAACGAAATTGTCGTATCCTGTAAAGCTGAACTGCAAGTTGAATGGATTGAAAGAGGAAGTAGACGCCACGTCCATCTAGAACTACAAGAACAGTTACGATACGAAGCTTAAACGTCAATAATTATAGAAGCCATGCATAACAGGTTGGAAAGCGGGACATTAAGTGACAGACATCACTTCCCATAGTCACTGATAAGTAATCACTGATAGCTATACACATCAACTTTTCCATTAACATTCTTAACATACTGATTGTTTAAGCTGATAAAGAGGAGACTGACAGCTTAATACAGTGATAAGTGAGGCATTTAGTTTCCCGCTCCTCGACTAATACTTTTATTTTATTTATATGTAAGAAAGTACGTCGGGTTGTGAAAGTACATACATTGGTGGTTGAGTGTTACATTCCTGCAAAGCCACTAACACACACATAGCATTTTGGGCATATATTTTTACTTATTCGATTTTGTGAATGGTAATATTTACAGAACAAAAGCAGGCCCAGACACCGGCAGTAAACAGTTAACAGGTTGCCTTTAAATTCAAACTAAATAAAAGGTACATAAATATTTATTTTTACAATATTTTAATGTAACGTCTTAATGGACTTTAATACATTCTCACGCGAGCGAGATAAATGAGCTCCATGCATCAGTTTCACTTCAGCCACATCCATCAGTCCCGTGCTTCATTAACCCCATATTTCACACAACCCGTTCTCGCAAATTTAATAAGTCAATATTGACTTATTAAATATGTACATAGGTGACATACTTAACATAATAGATACCCTTAAAAAGATTCATAGAAAACACCGACCTTACCTAACCTACTTAGTATGTTAAGATAAGCATCTTATTGCTTCGTAATTACAATTATTACCTAACCTATAATAGGTATAGGTTAAGTAATAATTGTAATTACGAAGCAATAAGATGCTTATCTTAAGATACTAACAAGGTTAGGTAAGGTCGGTGTTTTCTATGAATCTTTTTAAGGGTATCTATTATGTTTAGTATATCACCTATGCACGTAGTTAATAAGTCAATACTACGTATCATCCTTTCCCCCGTTTCAGCCCCATGCTTCATCCTTATGTATTACCCCCTCCCCCCATGAATCAGCACCATATTCCAACCCCATACATCAGCCCTATGTCTTGCACCCCCCATGCATCTGCCCTCTGCATTAACGTACTGTATTTCATCAGCCCCATGCTTCAGTCTTATCTGCTGACAAGGACGCGAGTTGCACAAGTGTGAGCGAGGAGCAATGTGCGTGGTGTGTCATTCTTGGCACCTTATGAGGATGCGTAATGGAGCAGGGATCTGCTTCAACATCAACAATTGGGAAAGCATGACACAAGACGCAAGATAACATGGTAAAGCTTACCTACAGACAAAGCATGTTACAGCATCGACAAAAGTGACTGCCTATATTAAAGGCACTTACATATGTTCTCTATAAACGTTCGAGGGAAATGTAAAACTGAAAATCTACATATGTATCTACATGTTATTCTTTCATATAATGCAGCATAATATGAAAAGTAGCAGCTCGCAAATATCTACGTTTAATATGGATCAGACTCGATGGGTTAGGTGGGTTGCTTTGGAATAGGCACAGATGTTGGTTAGATTGTTGATTTTATTTAATTTAAAAATGTCTTATTTTATATTAGAGAAATGTACAATATGACTTGCATTAAATTTTTTACATTAATTTATAAAATGCAAAAATATAAGAACACTTAAGTATCAGGATGAGCAGCACACCTTGTGGGTGCTATGAGAGTATTTTCACTCACAGGCTGAGTAAGAGCTTGGACACAATCAATCCTATGAGTGAATGTCCGATTATCAGTGGCTTTAGACCAAATGACATGAGACAGTTGGAGCTTTGTAATCATTTTATTCACAGATATAACAAAATGTTCTCATACTCTACTTAAAGATTGCTAGTGCAGGCTAGTTGACTCGACTCACATACCATGAGTGAGTCGCATTTTCTTTCATTCCGTATATGACCAATCATTCTCTAGATGGGAATATTAAATGAACTCGTAGCTAGCTCTTGATCTATATATTCTGCCTCATATAAAACAAGGTACCAGCACACTGCTGTATGTCTAAGCTTATTGATAAAATAGTGATGTTGCTCAGTAAATTCGCCATTGGGTCAAAATGTAAAAATAAAAAACTGGCACATTGAATGTAATTGGCTCAACTAAGAAGCTCGTTCTTGAGTTCACGGTGATGTTAGTTGATAAACTATGAAAATAATAATTTAGTTAAATGGTGTAAGCTGCTTATCAGTGCTGTAACTAATATAACAGTAATGTTGGGGTCAGTTCCTGAATCCATTCTGTGCCTCTAACCTTTTCCATTACCGCTCACAGGATTAGTATGGGATGCATACTAAATGAACTAAACTAAAAGCAGCAGAATGCTATCATATTGACTCTTGAGTACAGTCCTATATTTAAACGTCTGGACGTGACAAGGCGACACTGTGAGGGCTCAGCACACCCTCCACCACGGTCCTTGACACAGTTATTATACGCACTGCTCCTCCACTCTACCCACCAACATCTCCTCCAAGACTTTGTCACTCTGTTAACGTTTTAATAAAATATATAAAAATGATTATCATTATAAATTGGAGTTGGTCAAGATAGAAATTGGAATAATGTTGCAATAACAAAATGTTGCAATATTTATATTGAATCATACGTCTCTAGTTGCAACGCAGTGAAAAATAACTAAATTGATCTCTCTGTTGTGAATATAAATGCAAGCTTTACGGGTACGTAAGGCAATAAGTAGAGGAGTTTGCAGTATTATGTGGGTACAGCAGGTACTAAAGGGAGGCTGCTTCGGCGCTCAATCTTTGTCAACGCCAAAATTACAGAAAAAACTAATAAAATTAGTTAAAGGTTAAATAATGGGTTAAGGGCAAAAATAACGCATACACATACATTCAGTACAAAAAAGTGCTACTAATTATTAATTTTTTATTGCTGAAAATATAATTTTTTAACCTAAATTTAACTTAACTAAACTAAAATTAACAATTTAGCCGAATCATAGCGTCTAAATAAAGCTTAATTTCAGTGATAGTAGTCACTTCTTTTCATTATATGGAGTGCATACTTATACTGTGGTAGTTATACATGAAGCTCAGTTTCCATACTCCCCACGGCCCATCCTGTGAGCCGTGGTGGAAAGTTACCGACGCACCCATTATGGCTTCAGGAACTAAGCCCAAATGATCGTTCAACTAAGCTTGTTTCAGTATTAATGAATTAGAGTTTGTTAACATATACAGTCACGCTATGGGCTTGGACACTAAAACTCATAATCAAGTTACAAGGCTATTCTTTCAGTGATCATAAGGTAAGCAATTATAAGAAACGTGCGGGCAATGCGAGGCTACAGAGTCTATGCATTTGCTTAAGTTGACAGGTCTAGAATATTCGGCTTGGATTTTCGGTAATATGTTACCAGATTAAAATATTTCAGACATTTACTGAACATTAGTGATAGAGTTGCTTCTAAATTCTTTGATTTTAGCACATTTAATTGTATAGTGACGTACATTATATGAATAATTATGCGAAAAAATATTAAATGGTCTGTGCACCAAGTACAACACCAAACAAATGTTTTTCCGTGTTGCTTTTAGGGCTCAAGTACTCCATTAGGCGAGGTTAGGCTTCTGTAAGTTATTCCTGTATGCCAGGCACGTTGGGCAGGAGGCATGTTAGGCTTACCCTGATCCCAGTATCCCAGCCTGAGGCTGTGTGTTATCGCCACATCAGAAAACGAAATGTCATGTATCTGAATATCACTTATTGTGGACGAAGCCTTTATTCTAGGTTTAACGCTCAGTTATATGTAGAATCCACCTGACTTATACTAATTGCCCCCACAGTTACCCTTTTATCTTCCACATCTTTCACTTTCACCTTAAATAACCTAGCTGCACCTACTTCACAAAATGGGTAAATCGCTGAAAGGTAATATAGTCACGTTGTTTAAGTGTGAAAGGATCAATGTTGAAAATGCAATGGGGTGTGCGTACATGCCAATATGCGCAAGCACAAATACATCAGTGCTTCAAGAAGTAGTGAATGAAATCCCTAAACATGTGCATGTCAGTTTCTGAACCCAATGAAGATGAGGCGCAAACCTGTCTGAACTTTCCGAGTGGACACGTAACTCAGCCAGGCAGGGAGTTACATTTATATCATATACGTATGTTTAAATGTAAGGCCACGGACGTGAGTCTAAAAACTCGATATTGCAAGAAGCTAATATAGAATATGTAGGTTTCCTAGTGTAGTTATTGAACTTAAACGGTAAATACAGTAAACGTTTATGGAAGTCAAATATAATTATATTAAACAAAGACGAAGGAACAGTTGCTGAACGCTCAGAAGCTATACCCACTCACTGGAGCACTTATGAGTTGCACTAACCAATCACTACAGACACTCGGAACATAGTGTGTATATAATTTACAAATATTCAGACACAAATGCAACTGCAGCAACCACTGGAAAAAGCATGATAAATAACTGGTAACAAGAGTACTTATACAGTAGGAATCCTTCCACACCCTTAAATGCCTTATATACTTCAGTAGGGAATTCAGAAAGCACATAAAGATTATCAACAATAAGACATGAATGAAAGTCAGAGCGACGGCTCCTCCTCCTGACTTGAGACAGCAACAAAGACAATATAGAGGTTGTACACAAGACACCCATTACAATCAACACTCGTGAGCAGCAGAAATAACAACAAGGTCACCGCAACACGAGTTTACACTATAACTTATACTCAGTGTAGTTGAGCACACGTTGCTGAAACAACTCCAATCTAGATGCGAAGATTTATTAGCATAAGTCTGCTGCAGTTTCGGTATCATCACCAACGCTTGTGTCATACACATAAACCAGGAATACTACCTTTTGAAATTAAAGAGAAAACTAATAAGCATATAGAATTTGCAGCCGACATGTACTACAATATCAAGCTAACACATAATGCTTCATGTTTCTGACTTACTCCACCTTCACCTCCCTGGCGTCGCCCCTTTCACCTCATTGATGTCACCACTTCCTCTTTCCAGTTTAAACGCACTCTTAATTATTTTAATTATTTTTATTACCTTTTAGTCAAAACTAACATAGAAATTTGATGAAGCCTAACCTAACCTGACATATGAATGACCTATTTCAGCCTTGTAAACTCTTGGGACTTATCCCATATAATTCCAATTTCTGACCAAGATCGATTTTGTACCATTTAGAGCTACGCTTCATAATTTCGCAACGGAACATTATCTTAATCACAGGCAAGTATTTTAGCTTCATGTCACTACAATGAGACATTCTCCCAACATTACATCCATAATAATTGATAAGGTTTTGATGAAGTTTTCGGTGAATTATTGCTCTAATTCTGCTTACAGGCTGGTCAAGGTTTTCAAAACGTTTCATGTGAGCATTACTTATGTCTGCTTTGTTTAGTTTAGACCATAATTTATGGTGCACCACCACCATAAACATCCTGTAAGGTGGATGAAAGGTTACAAAGGCCATAATGAGCTCAAGAATCGAACCCCAATATTCGTTTTGCTAAGAAAGTTAAAGCATTTGTTAACTATATAGTTTGTTAACATATGTATGGTGTAATTAATTTAGCTTATCAACGCCCTATACCTATCCTATGGGCTGAACTAAAGTATCTAAAGAGAGCTACATTAGCAGGATATACAAGCTTAGAGATACGTTGTTTCAGTAGACCTATCCTGAGTTTTTTGTTAGCTTTGTTCATTTACTATGCACCCCATACCCATCTTTCGAGCGGTAGCGGACCCCATACCCATCCTGTGAGCGGTAGTGGACCCCTACTCATCCTGTGAACGGTATTGGACGCCATACCCATCCTGTGAGCGGTAGTGGACCCCATACCCATCCTGTGAGCGGTTGTGGACCCCATACCCATCCTATGAGCGGTAGTGGACCCCCATATCCATCCTGTGAGTAGTGGTGGACCCCATACCCATCCTATGGACGTTAGTGGAAAAAGTTTGAGGCATATTATGGGCTCAGGAAATAAACCCTAAAATTAATTTAGCTAAGCAAGTTACAGCCTTGATAAGCTAATTACAGTTTAACAAGCACGTCAAGTCTTATACCACATAATGGGGTCAGAAACTGAACCACATAGTTTGTTTAGCTAAGAAAATTACAGCCTTGATAAGCCAGCTACGTAGTTTGTTAACATATACAGTACATCTATACAGTTTTCTCACAGTTTTTATCAAACTATCATGATAGAGGGGATGAAATTGTACCATTACATTTCCTGTTCCTTGGAGTTGCATTCTAGGCTATTAATTAAAAGTATTACTGTATCCGAAAATATTAGTTCTATTAAACTAATCAAGGTGAAGGCGCACTCAAACTTCCTCTGAGATAACCTGCAAGAACGGCACAGCGCTGGTGATGAATCATTTCCTGAAGGCAAGTAGTGGTGCCGGCACCCGCCACCCCAGCCACCTCCACCTCTTGTTTTATGGACAGGCGTAGGTACCCATCAGTCCGCTGCTACTCTATCCTATATGACGGCTTTGCAGAATATACGTCTATATTAGTACCTACGGGCTCACCATAGCCCGTGCTACTTGGAACTTTTTGTTCTGGGTAGCGAATCTTTAACAATAATATACGTCAAAACTAGCTATATGTTCATCTAAAAAAACATCTAACAGAATGGTTAGTCATGCACGAAATCAAATAAAGATTCGGAGCAGACTTTGGGGAGAGTATGATAATATCTTCTAATATCCGCAAGTGAATGAAATGTTCTAAAGTTCAAAGTATCTCATGCCATTTGCCTTAAAATCACTGATAACTAGAAATTCACTAATCGTGTTGAAGAGTTCTAGTTCTCGTTTAGTGAGCATACACTGGGATTGCTCATTGCTGGTAGATTCATTACCTGCAGTTACCTATCATAACTAACGATATCCCGGCCTATTCTGGTAATTACAATGTCACGCGGGTGGAAGCTGTATGCTGTCCGAACATCGAGTTCTCAATTATATACATATAGCTCTTCGTACTAGTGCTTTCTGCCCTTTGAGTGTCGCCATGCTCTTCTCATCCCTTGTTCTTGACGACGTGTGGTTTGCCAATAGAAATTTCGATAACTAGGTCTAGTTTAATTTCAGGTTTATTACATGCAGCTTGAAATGAGTGCAGTGTCTGTGTATAATTATGTTGGATAATGCCTGTGTGAGATGCTATCATTACAGAGAAGATTCTGAACTCTTATAATTACTTTTAATATTATATTTTTGGCATATCTATTTTGCATATAGGGTTTTATAATGTTTGAAGAGATGACTTTGAATCCCATAAAATTATACTGGTATTTTTCGAGGTATTGGTGATTATTTGTAGTTTACCCCTTGTTGTTTATGAAGAACTTACAACTGTTGACAGTTACCGTGATTAATGTCCATGTTTATGTTTATATAAGAATCAATATAGTTAATTTATTATGCACCCCCATACCCATCTTGTGGGCGGTAGTGGAAAGGGTTACATGATGGGTATGGGGTCCATATTAAATGAACTATATATTGATTCTTAATATCAATCATTATAGTAGTTACTATATTATAGTAAATTATGGTACAATATAGTGCAAGGGTAATTGTTGCTCTAGGCATACTGGATTTTTGTCACTCTTTATGCGTATGCGTATGTATATGCAAGATGACACTTTCATTACAGTGCTGTATCATTAACTGGTACACTGCAGGAGCCTCAACAGGAACACTTGATGAGGTTGGCAACACTTGTAGATGAGATCTCCATACACCTCGACGCCCGCCCCTCCCTGTAGCCTAACCTCACTACACGTTTGCCGCAAATCTCAAATGATTATTTCCCATATTCTTCATAGTGGTGTTTATGTAGGAAGTTCTTTCTCGCTGTTCACGACGCCAACTGTGTTGTATTTATAGAATATAACAATTGCTGTTTTAATTTGTTTACTGGTAATTACTGACCTACAAAAACTGGAAGAGTTGATCTGGTGAGGAGCCCGAGCGTTCTCTACTGGTGACCGGTTGCTGAACCACTGGTGGTAGTGGAGCTCCGGGCGCCTGCCTCACACCTCACTGTTCTGTCCCTCCCTCACACCCCCGTGTCCTCCCTCACTCCCCGTGTTCTGTCCCTCCCTGTGGCCTCCCTCACACCCTCGTGTCCTCCCTCACTCCCCGTGTTCTGTCCCTCACTGTGGCCTCCCTCACACCCTCGTGTCCTCCCTCACTCCCCGTGTTCTGTCCCTCACACCTTCGTGTCCTCCCTCACTCCCCGTGTTCTGTCCCTCACTGTGGCCTCCCTCACACCCTCGTGTCCTCCCTCACTCCCCGTGTTCTGTCCCTCACTGTGGCCTCCCTCACACCCTCGTGTCCTCCCTCACTCCCCGTGTTCTGTCCCTCACTGTGGCCTCCCTCACACCCTCGTGTCCACCCTCACTCCCCGTGTTCTGTCCCTCACTGTGGCCTCCCTCACACCCTCGTGTCCACCCTCACTCCCCGTGTTCTGTCCCTCACTGTGGCCTCCCTCACACCCTCGTGTCTTCCCTCACTCCCTCGTGTTCTGTCCCTCCCTGTGGCCTCCCTCAGTCTCCGTGTCCTCCCTCACATGCTCTAGCTCTTCCTTTAACACTGGCTTACTTGATCACCTTCATTGTTAGCTGACTAATGTTCTGTCATGCAGTTTTGGTGTTTAAAGTCCATCAACAGGTATCAGGTCACATGCACAAACAAATTTTATTCGTTATCAATTTATAAAATCTTACAGTTCTGTATCAAAGTAATAAGGATATTAAATATTTTTATTTAATTAACGTACAAAAGAACGAGGTACAGTGGTTGAATAATTATTACATAATATGCATATTTAATAAAACCACTATAGTACGCAAAGTTTGACAGTGCTCACTCGATATGTATCGTCTTGTAACTAGTATTTCGAACCTTTGATGTTGTGGTAGGAATTCTGTAAATCTGCACCTCACAGTCGATGATTGCCCTTGAACTGGGTGGGGACAGTCTTACATTAGCATGACCAAAATACACAGTTGCATAACAGCAAGATTTGATGCATTTCAATCACAGGATATTTAAGGTTGATATGCAGCTGCAGAAGGGCTAGTAGTCAATAACAGTAACCTGCGTTCGAGGATATATGCGTGGTAGCAGAAGTGCTAATATTAGCAGTCAGTAACGGAAAATATAATCTCTGATCTTATTTTAGTCTTCATGAAAATCTCAGGGGGTCACTATAAGTGCTGATATTTCTTAGAGTTTGGTACTGGAACCGACCCCAACTGGCCTATGACACTCCCATACCCCATGGTTCATCTTAGAAAGTTGGGTGAGGCTAGCGCAAAGGCTGGCCTTCAGCCTTGGACAGACAAATAAACGGAGAAACATTTTTACGGATATAGATACAGTGTCCCAAAATTACGTAATTATTGTGCTCTTAATTTGTATCAGAATATTATATGAAAACAAGCTGCTGTATTTAATTAATTTAAACAATGACAGTGAAGGGTTGAATTAAGCACACTCTACCCAACAGTAAAAAGTTGAATTAGGTACACTGTCCCACAATAAAATGTTTAGTTAGGAGCCCTGCTCAACAGTGGTAATGTAATTACGAAGAAAATGTGCAATGCTATTGTGACAGTACATGTATAGCACTTGCAAAGGGTTTACAAACAGACTGCTATAGGAGCATGGATATGGGAACTGTGCCCAAGCACATGGGCCATCAGGGACTATTATTGATTGATTTATAATTCAAATTATATTTTATATTTATACATTCATATGCAAGAATGTACATATGGTTGTGAAAGCACAGACATTGTGCAATGTGGGATTGATATGAGATATGAGTGGGATTGGGTGGTTATAAATAGGAGCTGCCTCGTATGGGCCAATAGGCCTTCTGCAGTTGCCTTTGTTCTTATGTTCTTATTGATGGTTGAGTGTTACATTCTTGCAAAGCCACTAATACGTATAGGGTAGTAAACATAAATTAATTCCCTAATATTTATATTAATATCTCGATTTGTGAATTGTTGCTCATCATGTTTCCATTTTGTAAAATATATATATAGAGGGCGGAGATGACAGAATGAAGTCCAGTTTTCTATTAAAAATCAAGATGGGGTACTTTGTTAAATGACTGCGTACTCGTTTTCTTTGTCGCCTGTGTGAAATAGTGCAATTCTAAACATTTTTTTGTGCCGTTATAGTGATATTCAGCATAGTATTATATAATATTGTATTTAAAGCAATTTTATAAAATGCGCTTTTTAATTACATGTATAAGTAGAAGGGTTATATATCTGAGGCCTAATAAAGTACATTTATGTGATATGCTAGGCCTATAGGAGTATTTAAGTTTGGTTTTTAACTTTATTTTTTCCTGACTATATATAGTGAGTAGTACCAAATTCTACTATCTGATTATACATTACCTCAATATATGTACGATGGTCTACATAATTACAAAAAGTACAATCTAAACAGGAGGATGGGTTGAAATATTATACATACTCATCTTTTAAAGTTATCCATATGTACACTTTATAGAAAACTGAATCTCTTTCTGTTGTTGCACCATTAGAAAACCAGCACCTTTCCTATTTTCAACAAAAGAAAACCAGAGTTCTCTCTTTACGCAAGTTCTCGTGTGTGTACTCGCCTAGTTGTACTCACCTAGTTGTGCTTGCGGGGGTTGAGCTCTGGCTCTTTGGTCCCGCCTCTCAACTGGCAATCAACTGGTGTACAGATTCCTGAGCCTATTGGGCTCATAGTGTGTGTGTGTGTACTCACTTGTTATGCTTGGGTGGGGGGGGGTTGAGCTTCGTTTCTTTGGTCCCACCTCTCAACTGTCAGTCAACTGGTGTGCAGGTTTCCGAGCCTATTGGGCTCTATGTGTATATGTTTGTACTCACTTTACCTAGTTTACCAAGTTGAGCTTGCAGGGTCGAACGTCTGCTCGTAAGTCCCGCTTTTCGACTGTCATTAGTTCAGTGCAATGACTTTCTCACTCGTTTTTATCATATTTCAATTTAAAGTTGAGTATCGATTTGGCTTCGACAACTTCCTCATCTACACGGTTCCATGTTGGTCCTTTTACGGGACCAAAGAGTCAAGCTTAACCCCCGCAAGCACAAACAGGCAAGTAATACAACTCTAAGACTAAAAGTGTTTTTTTTTTTACATCCCTATGGCCCATCTTCGTTTTCAGTTTATAATTATGTTCTCTCGTTTTACTGTTTCTTAATTTGAACATTCCTTCTATATTTACTTTTCAATCCCCCTTAGTATCTTGTATGTCGTTATCATATCCGTTCTATTCCTTCTTTCCTCCAGTGTAGTGAGGTCCAGTTCTCTCACTTTCTTCATAGCTCAGACCCCTCAGCTCAGGAACGAGCCTTGTTGCATATTTTTGGACTTTTTCTAGTCGTGCTTTATGCTTCTTTAGGTAAGGGTTCCATGCTGGGGCAGCACACTCAATAATGGATCCCACAAAGGCTGGCACAGATATAATGACATAATCAATGATGGAGTCAAGAGTTTGTCTCCTGTGGATTCTCTCCCATATTGGTCTCCAAATGTCCGAGTTAGCCAAAACTTTTGATCGTGGAGGGAATTTATTGCCATCTTGGATGGCCTTTGAGCAGCCCGAGGGCAGTAATATTCTGTAAACAGCAACAAAATCTAGTATATTTTTGGCAAAGTGAAATTCACACCAGTTCCTCCATCTATCATAATTCTATTATGGAGGAAGAACGGCACGTCTATAGATCATCCAATAAGGTTAGCAAGACTTCTAGATGTTACTACTGATAGGCTTCATTTCTTACCACTAGATTTCTAGATGTTGCCACTGCTTTATAGTTCATTTACCACAGCTAAATAAACTACAGGATTCAGTTCCTGAACCCATTATGCGCCTCTGTAACCACCAAACCATGTGAATAGTAACAATAAATGCATTTTTACTGATGCAACTTTTAAGTAGTTTATATAAATAAAATATAATTTAGACAAGTACTTAAAGCTATTGCATATTATTATAGTTATCATTTAGTGGAAAATTATGTTTAAAATTCGAAAAAACGGTATAAAATATTAAGTTTACCTAACTTTACCTTATCCTAAATAATCTAACCTTACCTAAACTAACGTTATCTTACCTTACCTGACCTAAGCTGATAATAGGCTTCATGTGCAATATATATATGTGTAACATGATGGACATGAACCAATAATAATAATAATAATAATAATAATAATAATAATAATAATAATGAGAAAATCAAATGGAGCTGTGAGGTGACTGGAACACAGTTGCACCCAGAGTTCCAGTTGATTTTCTTATTGATATATCACGTTAGTGTGATTTATCTGTGTAAACAATAATAATAATAATAATTATTATTGTTATTATTATTATTATTATTATTATTATTATTATTATTATTATTATTATTATTATTATTATTCAGGTAAATAATGGCCGTGATTCCTCTAATAAATGTGCGATTGACCTGAATTAGGTTTATCAGAGCATAAAGTAGATTGCCATGTTTTAACAGTGTTTTAAAGTTGTACGTATGTTGTATCAGTCAGTGTGTGGGGTTCACGTGTACATAATATGTTGAGTGCGTGACGTCAACTTGTGACAAGCGCGTGATGATGGAGTTCCCATGTGGACCTGATTCATCATCTTACTATGAAACTTTCAAGGACCTCTTCCCAGAACATTTAGCTTATCCTACATCCTAGGATGATATATGACTCCTACATTCGGCGCACTACACAAATATATGCAGGAGACACGCGAACGCAAAACGACATATAAGGTTTCAAATGACATTGACTTATGGTGAGTACAAGTGCAATACAGTAGGCGTAAAAGTGCCATACATGATGTTAGTGGGACGGGAGCTGGTAGATAAAATCTTTCTTAATTTACGTTGATTTAGTTATAATTATTATTATTTGTTTGCATATACGTTTTTGTGCCTGGTGTGTTTTTTCTTGAATTTAGCATTACTCAAAATATTTAAAATATATGACCCATTGTGGCGGCAGCTGATCCAATGTCCGTAGCCGGCCTTTTTC